TCTCAACAAGCAAACGTCCTTACCTCTTCTTTTCTTGACATCAATAAATTCTGTGTAAATTTGTTTGACTAATTACTCCCGATGCAGCGATCTAATGTGACAACTACAATGCCGCATAAATTCCCAACTTACTTCCGACTGGCTGGGCGCACACCTAGAGACGCTGAATTCAGTGCCCACAGAGAGTCACATAAGTCAGCGAGACACAAAATTAATTAAAGTTCTCCCTGGGCCTCTCGAAGGACTCGAGTCAAGTAGCCGCCGAATGTCCTTTGGCTGCTTTCACACGTTGTAGCAGACCGCTCCTCGTCCCTATTCCAAACTTCCTCCTTGGCCGCAGCGTCAAGTGATGAGCCTTTTTTCCGGGTTCTAGGATTTCAACCCTTCGAGTCCTGTGGGCTTGCTTCTGTTATTATTGTTTCGAGCTGTCAAATTTCGTTGTTTCCTGCTATCCTTTATCTCCCTGCTCCGCATCTCCTTTCGTGTAATTTTATTAATCACAACAACACATTTGTTGCCTGCTACCCTTTTGCTCCTTTATTATTGTCCTTCCGTTTCTGGGTCTGTGTGCCTTGCGTCCTGTCATTTAGTTTTGACTAATTATGCAATTTGTATGCAATAAAAAATATTAATTGCCCTCGCCCTGTCTCTTTCCTCCTGGAAAATTATGCAACTCTCCGATTTTTTAAAGGTTTGTTTATTTATTTTTTGGCTGTTGCAATTCTGGGAGTTCTGGTTGGGGGCGGGATGTCAAGGGGGCGTGGTAGGGGAGAGGCTATGCGAATTTTCCAGTTGACTTATTCGGCGCCCTCATGCGTACATCAAAAATCAACCAGGTTCAACTGGGTAAAAAACGTTAAAAATAATATTGCAAAAATATTTCTTTTGGTCTCCCGTTAAAGTGCGTGGGTGGTACTTCATCAGAGGTCATAAAGGTCAAATAAGAGAATTAAATATGTCTTAATTGCGCTAGTAATTGTTCTTAAACGTAATGAAAGGATTACCTTATAAACAGATTTAAATATTGAAGCTTTGTTAACGTATAATTAATAAACATTTTAACTGCTTTCCATTGGCCAATTAGCTTTTCTTTTATACACCTAACTAGGCCCACTTAACAACCACTCAACTGAACGACATTTTCCAACCACACGGTCCAAACACAAATAAATATGCGAGCCACCGCAAAACCACAACTACCGACAAACCACACACACACACACTCCCGCTCACACACATGCCCAACACACAACAATAACGCAAACCATTAAATGTGTAAATTTCATAAATTAACCAATAAAGTTGGCAATTATTTCCATACCATGGTGAGTGGGTAAAAAACGCGGTGTGCAATCAAATTAAGTGAAATAAAGTAATAAAATAAAGAATGGAAATTATTTTCATAAACTGTTCGGCGGTCCGATGGAGTTCCATGAAAACTTTCCGCCGGAGGGAAAACAAAAATAAAAATAACTGCGACCGAAAAACTTGGCAACTAAAAATCGCTTCATTCTAATTACTTCCTTGCGCGACTCCGCCGAAGGACTTCCGTCAGCAGGACACGTCGCCTAGTCCAAGTTCAAGTTGAAGTTCGCAGATTCGAAGGAGTCGCGTGGACTCGAGCTGGGGGGCGTGGCGCATAAAACAATCGTTTTGTAATAAAGATGAAAATTTTATTAAAAGATGTCGGAAACAGATGTCGCCGGCAGGACGGGAACGAAAACGAGAACGAGAACGAACTCCGAACCCTGAAGAATCCAGCCGGGAGGTGGAATCCAACCCACTGGGCAGCAAAAGCCAAAAGCCAAAAGCAACGACAATACACACTTTATAATCTTTTATCGCATTTTTTCTACTTGGCTGACACAAAGAGCGTATTTATGCGACTGTTAACGTTATGAAAAGCCCATAATTTCGCAGCCACCCCGAGAGTTCTGGCTTCTCTAGTCGCCGGCGAATATAATAAAAATAATAAACGTTGTCCTGAAAATCGATGGCAAACAGAATTCGCATTCATTTCATGGATGGTGGCTTGATGGTCTGGTGGGCGGTGTTCGCTGGTCGGAGGGTGGTGGGTGGTGGGCGTGGTGGGGACATGGCCATGGCAGCAGCTGATATCGACAGTTAATTTGGCTGGAATGCTTTTTCTATATCGTCCTTCGCATCGAGTGTCGTGTATAAATGTTTGCGCTTTATTATATTGCCCAACCACGCCCCCATCCAGAACCATCGAGGAACCCAACCAACCAACCCAACCAACCACTCAACCACCCATATATATCCCCACCCATCTTGCAGCATCTTGTGACATTTTACCTTTTTTTGCTGCCTTTGCCGCTGCTGCAGACGATACACGATAATGATATCCATATAATGATGCGGCTGTCAACGGCATTCGATTCCACATTCCGATTCCGCATTCCCTCAAAGGGCCACGATGTATTTATTCGAGCTGGAGTGGCATGTGGCATGTGTGGCAGCGCCGACAGAAATAAGTCTTTGAATTCGGCCAACTAAATTTACCTGCGAGCGGATTTTGGCAGTTGAAGCCGGGTAAGTTCCAAAAGGAAGTAACTTGGAAGTTGTCAGCTGCTTTGAGATGTGTAATAAGCTTTGATACTATCATCGGGAAAGAATCCCATCATCTGTTGGTGAAATGTCTCAAAGGACTCGTATGTTATCTTTTCTAAAAGGAGATTTCCGATTAAACACGGTATGGATAGTAATTAATTAAATTTGTTTTGTATAAGGAGCTCAGCTTACATATGTTTGATCTTTATAGCCTTAAACAAAAATCGCACACTAACAAAGGTCAACACCACAAATTGTAAATTAGCTGTTATTCAGTTGTATTAAAACCAAACAAAAAAATATTAAACGATAAGTTTTTCTTACGAATAAACCCCTATAATTGTATCTACAATTTCCAAAGTAAAACAATGCCTACACAACCATTATTTATAATGTATAGCGTCTCAACAAAGGACCAACAAAGCCCAGCCAAAAAGCCAAACGTTAACAGCACAATAATCCCCAAGCAGACCCAACAACATAATTTACATATTTCCAATTCAGCAAACAAATTAAAAAAATAAAAACCAAAATAAACTCGGGGCCGTGGTAACACTCTGAAAAACAATTAAAAGTTTGTCCTCAACACCTTCCCCCTTCCCCGCCCCCCGCAGAAATGGGGGATATGGATAAGGATAAGGATATATATTTGGGGGCTGCCAACAAAAGCCTGTTTCGGTGACCCCTTTCATTTGTCAAAGAGCAGCGGCGCCATGACAATGGCAGATGGAACAGCAGATCCGAACAGGATCTGGCAATCCGGAGGACGCTGCACATTCAGCCCACTTATCAAATAATTGTCCTCATATTATGGCGACTACAAAAAGAGATGGAGATAGCGGCGACTAAGAGAGAGCCATTTCCCCCGGGGGAGCTTGGCGAGGGGGAGCCTGGGAAATTGTAGAAAATGGAAAATGCTCTGCTCGAGCCATGTGTCGGTGGCAAATAAAAATGTAAGGACTCTTCAGCGCACACAGACACACGCGGGCGGAATCCTTTGCATAAATGATGATGGCATGATGAGAACTTTTAATCATTATTATCACATATTTATACGCTTATATGAGCATGTTTTATGTACTCGCTGCCAGCAGCAAAGGATGCAGAGAAGAAGAAGCTGAAGCTCGAAGTCGAAGTCGAAGTCCTGGCGATACGGGGGTAATCCTTTGAGGCGTGCTCCATATGAAAGCAAAAAGCCACAAATGGCAGCGCAAAACAATCCGAGCTGGGGCCTTTGTTATCCTTGTACTGCTTCCTATTGTCGAGAGCACTTCTCCTCCTTTCAGCTCCTGATGGGATTCCGATTCGAGTGAGGCCACGCCCCTTCTGCGGGGAGGAGGCCCCCGAGCTGCTGCTACTTTTCCAAGCCACAAGCAACCCTTGTTGCTGCTCTCTCTCTCCCTCTCCCTCTCTCTTTCTGTGCACACAATGGAGGCCAAAAGGACACACACATCCTGTTTTTGTCTAGCTCCTAAGCTTACATAACCGCTGCTCAGCCATTTTCGCATTTGCTGCGCTTTCGACCCAGAGTAAATAAGTCACCATTGTCGATAAACTCGATTGTCGTCATCAACGGCGACGAGGACAACTAATTTGCGGTCATAATAAAAGTTAATCTACTGACTCCTTGGCTGCTGGCCGAAGGACTCACTTTTTTTTTGCCAAGCCTGCAACAAATTGCGCGCACAAATTCAAAAGTTTATGGATGGAGAGAGCAAGTGGAGTTAAGTAGCATATATCCGTAAATCGATGTTAATAAATATGTATAATATTTTATATTGTGCTAATTTGTTGGCGTAGTTAGTTTTATTGAAGGCAATTTTATTTTGTTTAATTTTCCAAAGATGTTTGTATTATACCTAAAAGAGATCGTTATTAAAAATGTAATATTCTTTTTTAAGTTTTATTCTTTTCTAATAGAAACTTAAAAATGTTTGATAATAAAATAAATATAATATTGTATATTAAACAATTTATAAAAATAAGTAATCTTCTTCAAGAAGCTACAAAATATTCTAATCCTTATCCAAATAAAAATGTATTTGGCCCACTGTGCCACACCGTGGAATAGCAGCACAAATCTAATAAGATCGAGCGGAATTCGGTTCAAGGCAGCGAGTGGCAAAGGCAACAAAACAAGAAAATTAAATTTTTATTGTTTTCACACAAATAAAATCAAATAAAAAGCGTACAACAATAACGAGCAGGCAAAGGCTAAACAGGACACGCACGCACACGGAGAGCGAGTGAGAGAGAACGACAGCGAGAGAGAGCGAGAGCAGAAGGATATACATAAGGAGGCGAAATCACGTGCCGCACTGACGACAAGGCTACTGGGCAAAAGGAGCGGACCAACCAACGGCGAGCAACCCTCGAACGGTGAATCCTGGCCGGGATGCTGCGTCCTGCGTCCTGCGCCTGCCAGGACATTTCGCCACCGAGATTCAGTTCGAATTGAGCACTCGACGCGAACGCGACAACTGGCGGAGTAAATCGGATAATAAATCAGGATAAGGATAACTAGAATACGGAAATTATAGAGCCTAACAGCTCCGTCGCGTTATGTCTACGGCCTTCCTCGTGGACAGTCTCCTGCACGCCCAGCAGACCTACACGGAGAGCCAGCTGAAGTCCAGCCTGAGCGAGATGCTCCTGTCGCGTCGTCCGGGCGCGGATCCTGCCGATCCGGCCGCCGAGTCCTCCGAGGGCTGCGGCTGCTCCAAGGTGCGCGGCTACAAGTGTGATAAGTGCCGCGAAATCCGGGCGGAGAGTGTGGACAGCGTCGAGGAGATGGACGAGGACGACGGGTCCTCCTCCACCGACGAGATCGTCGCGGACATCGGCAGTGTCGAGGGCGAGGAGCCGCACATGGACCTCGACGAGGAGCTCGAGGACGAGCTGGCCGAGGTGGACGAGCCGGAGGCAATCAAATTGCCCAAGGTGGAGCCCAAGGAGTCCGGCATCCCGGCGGTGGGCAGCACCATCCTCAAGGATACCAACAGCAAGCCCATACTCAAGTTCAGTGTCAGTGCGATCCTGGGGGACACGAGGGAAGGAGTCCGCGTCAGAAATGGTAAGTTAACTACTCCTAAAATTGGCGAAGAGGATTTAGTTTGAGCTCTATATTTTTTTTTTCATTTGGATTTTTTTTCATTTTGATAAACGGGGGAAAGGTTATACTGACTGTTTAAATAAACTCTTCTTTTGATTTAAATAATAAATTCAATAATCTTTGATTCCAAAAATAAAACAAATATTATTTTTTGGCTTTTAATATTTTTATTCGATTTTAAAACTAGAATTTAATTTGATTCAATTGATTTAATGATTTTGGATTCCGTTTCTTTAAAGGGTCTTTTAAGTAAGATTCTCATCCATTTAATTGCCTTTTTTATTTTTAAGGACACCCTTAATACTCTTTTTTCTTCAAGACTGTCTTTTTTATAATTATCCAGTCCCATTTTAATTTTCAAGTGGCTCTAAGACCCAATTACGTTGCCGCCGCGGGCTGCTCCAAGATTGCCATTTAAAAGGCTTGGCAATTAATTTGACGTGGCTAATGCCAAACAAAAACAAAATACTGAACACAATTGCAATATGAAAAGCCAAAAGAATAACAAATCTTGCCGAAAGTTTCGAGATCCTCGCGAGGGGAGAGAGCAAAGTCCTGGTGCTCCGCAGTTGCCTTAGTTTTTACGCCGTGATTTTATTGTGTGTTGGCCTAAGCCCTCGGGGCGTTTCTCCGCTGAGCTGGCAGGCTGTAAAAACACAACCAGACCTAATCATGTTTAAATTATTGAGCCAAAACCCCTGAGCAACAAAGCCGCATAACCAGTTCAGCACATCGGCACTTCCGCACAGGATCTGGATGGGATATAGTGCGCGAGATCCTCTGCCGCGTGCTGTTTACAACGGGGGATGAGGATATAGTTTCTATCTGTTTCTATAGAGAAAAGGTCCGGGGTGTGGGACAAAAAGGAGGCGGAACCAATTGGCCATCAGTCAATGTAACAGCTTTGCTTTGGCCGTTTTTTAGCATTGTTCTGGGATTGTGGGATTTAATTGTCATGTGATTATTTCACCGCGACTTACTTTCCATATTAATGAGTGGGCCGATCCTTCTGATTTCTCATGTTTTATGGCCATTTTTTATGAGATTTTATTGGCGATCTTTTTGGGGTTAAATCGTGCAATTTTTATGGCAAAAGCGTGGCAATAAAATATTGTCAAATTGTTGTATTTTATGGCAATATATTCTGGATTAAAAAGGTTGGGAAATAGGTCACACAAAATAATATTTCCTTATGTCTTAATATCCTAAGCAAATTATTTTCTTAATAGTTTTTCTACTTCGCACTCCCCTTCTCCAAGTTTCCCAACTAATTGCCATAGTATTCCAATCAATAATCCACTTAGAGCAGTTTTCCCCCAAAATGCAAACGGCTTTTTGCCTTAGATTAAGCCACAAATGAACTTTTTTGCAGCGCCATAAACCAATAAGCCCAAAAACTTGCCACATTTTCGCAGCACAGATGCAGATACAGAGAAGTCGGTAAACCGCCGCCGAACAAAACAAACAAAAGCGAACAATTATAACTTAATTTGTGCGCTCATTAGGCACACATGTGCCACACACGAGCACACACACAAACACTCCTACACACACGCAAGGATAATCGAGGATGCCCATATAGAAATGGAAATTTTCGGTGGCCCACAAAGGCAAAAAGCTTTTGGCCACAAGAGTCGAAAGCATCAAATTGAACGCGCACACACTGCCGAAACTAAAGAGGCGTTAATTCGTTAATTGTTTCAGTTCTCTAATCGAATTAAAATCATATCCTGGATATCCTGCAGCAACTGCCAGCCTGTCAGGATGTGCGTGAAGGGAAGGTGGAGGGGGGAGGGTGAGGGGAAGGTGGGGAAAGCAATGGCGGCGGCTGCCTTTTTGGGGTGTTTAATTAGAAAATGAAATGCACCCACACAGGGCTCCAAAAGCGAGATTCCATCCCCCGATATCCTCTCTCTATATGTATGGAATATCCTGCTGCTGAATCAAAGGCGCCAAACTTTGCTCTCAAGGTGCGAGTTCCTCTGTGTGGGTGTGTGTGTGTGTGAAGTCCTTTATCCAGGAGTTTGTGCTTGCTTTAATTATGCCAACTTCACACTGACACTTCAAAGCAGATTTCATTTTCCATTGTCTGCGCGGGTGTGTGTGTGTGAGGAGGTGGATGTGGGGTGGAAAGTGGGGGGATTGGGCGGTAATGGCGTCTGTCTGGAAGTTGGCAAGACAGCACATAACACGCTTCAAGGATTCCTCAAGAAGAAGCCAGGATAAAGGCTTTGGCAGATTGTTTTCAAGGCTGACAATCTGACAGTCTGACACTTCAAAGTACTTTTAAAAGTGGGTGTGTTTTAGTAAAAAAGTAAAAAGTGTAAATTTATTAATTAACGGGTATACTGCTACCTATGTGGCAGCTTGAGCAGGTTGTAACTATAGGGGATAACAAAGGGTTGGTATACAGATTATACATTAAATCTATTCGTGTGTAGTTTAATTATATCAGTCTTCAAGTGTGTTAAATGTGTCTTAATGGAGTAAAAGTGGGTGTGGAGAACTAATTTAATTTAAATGGTTTAACGCTATCATTAACTAAAATATATATAGAATATATATTTTAAATAAATATTTTGAATGTTTTTTAACCTTTTTGTTTTAAACTGAGCTTTTTTGTTACGTAAAACATACTTTTGGGGGTACTCACAATTCACAACTCAACTGGACTTTTCACTTTAGTGACTCACTCGCCACTAATGGTTTCATCATCCCACTGATTCTCCCACAGAGTTCATGCAACCGCAGCATATATGGCCTTATCTGCAGCAAAACTTCATGCAGCAGCACTCGCATCAATATCAGCAACACCATCAGCAGCAGCAGCATCCCCACCAGCAACACCAACAGTTGCCAGTGCCAGGACATCCGCATCCCCATCCGCATCCTCATCCGCATCACCATCATCACCATCACCATCCGGGGGCGGGGCACGCCCACTTTCCGCATCCCGCATTTCTAACGCATCAACTGCCGCCTCATCAGCAACAGCAACTCCAACAGCAGCAACAGCAGCAGCAGCAACATCAGCAGCAACATCAGCAGCATCCCGGCAATAGTTGTCAACCGCAAACCGCATCCTCGTCGTCGTCACCTGGCAGCACAATTAGTGATAGCGACAACAATCACGGCGGATCGGGTGCCACTGCCAATGGGAATTCTGGCCAGGATGGTCGACCGCACGAGCTCTCCAATCCGAGTCTGAATCCGGAGGAGGAGGGCGCCAGTCGAAGATTAACGCAAGACAAGCAGCAGCAGCAGTTGCTCGGCGCCGGAGGAGGAGTCGCAGGGGGAGGAGGAGGAGGAGGCCATAGTCATGGTCATCCGACGCCCCCTCCTCCGCCTCCGCCGCCGGTCATTGCCAAGCCGATGCCCAGTCGCCCCACGCCCTTCCTGCCGCACACCCTCAACCACCCGCACCTCCACTCGCTGCTCGCCCACTGCCGCAATCCCTACATAAGTGGTAAGAGTTTGTCCTGCGTCCGGTGTCCGGGAATAGGGAATGTGTCTATACTCGAAAAAACAATCATAGATTTAAACTGAATTTGATTTTGTATGAACAAAAAAATAGAGAAAAAGTTCTACCCTAAAATGAACATACAAAATCTACTAATTAAAAAAATATCTTACAAATATCTGCATTTCTAACGAATATCTTCCTTAAATAGTACGGCAATCGAATGAAATTTATACAATCCTTTTGATAAAAGGATTTGTTAAACTCTTATACCTCTAATTCAAACAGAATTTCTCCGATTCGAATCTTAGCTAGTTAATTAATACAATTATATATTTTGGTTAACACTGTGAGGCTTTTGTTTACAAAAGGAGTTTATTTTCCAAATACCCCTTTTTGAAAATTCAACAGATTATTTCCAAGTGCACTACTCCCTAATTGCTGTCCGAATATGACACATCCCCAGCCAAAACCGAATCTGCACCCCGCTGAGCCCATTAACAAGTGTTTTGGTCTAATGCATTTCCTCTTCCCGTTGTTGCAACAATTGCAGTTGGCGCCCAAGTGTTTCCCCTGCCTCCTGGCCAAGGATTTCCCTGGGCCCACTCGACACGTGGCAAGCCTCGCCGTGGCATGATGCGACGTGCCGTCTTCTCAGGTGCGTAGATGGGGAGCCCCTTCCATGAGGAATCCAATTAATTGCTTCTCCTCCTGCAGATTCCCAAAGGAAAGGACTGGAGAAGCGGTTCCAGCAGCAGAAGTACATCAGCAAGCCGGATCGCAAGAAGCTGGCCGAGAGATTGGGATTGAAGGACTCTCAGGTGAGATACACAAGTTAAAATATGTAGCCTTGATTTATACTTAAATATGGAAAGCACCACTTTGATTCAGCGATTAAAATAATCAATGAGTCATGCGTTTGTTTACGTAAGCTTTGCGAAATGCAAGGTTTTTTAGGAGATACAGTCAGTCTACTTGGAAACTTTTCAGTTGGGGGTATAGCATAGGGGTAGAGCATTCGACTGCAGATCGAAAGGTCCCAGGTTCAAATCCGGGTGCCCCCTTTTTTTACAGTATTTGAGATCCGTTTATTTTGAAAATAGCTCGAAAAACATTTCTGTAGCAAAAGTATACGCGTACAAATATATATCGTCTTTAAAATTAGAGCTATTGTTTTAAAAAGGAAAATGTATTTTTACGCAAATGTTTTTATCGGGAAAAAAGAAATTAGGGATCGTATATTAGGTGTAAAAAATCCATCACGTTCGGACCAAAGTAATTATTTAATTGAGCTCTTTAATTATTTTTTCACACCATAAAATGCGATTATAATCAAATCTGCTTAAACAGCACCCAATTAGCATTTCTAAACCCATTTCCCTACGCCGCACCCACAAAGCGCAAACTTTACCCACTAAACTCTGTCAATTCGGTGTAAGCAATCCATAAACAATCTGCTCTCAAAACAGAACAAAAATCAATAAGCATAATGAGCACGGAATTATGCCATTATAAAATTATATTTAACCGCTTATGAAAATATCGTTCTGGCGAACTTTTCGAATCGGCTTTAATAAGCAGACAACAAAAGGCGACGGGAGCATAAAGTGCCCGAAAAAGCCGAAACAAAAAGCGAACAATGCGGACAAAACTCCGCCCTGGAAGCTCTCCGGCAATGGCTGCGCACGGGAAAATGGCAGAAAACCGGAAAACTCGGAAAGGTGGATGGGGAAGGGGAAGGAGAAGGGGGGCGGCGCTCCTTGAAATGCGCAGTCGCTTTCTTATACATATCCCTGAATTTTTTTATATATATAGAAGCCGATATGTACAGGCCGAGGTCGAGGTGGAAGCATAATGAAATTATAACGAGCTATAAGAAATTCATGTCGGCTGAGACGGCGGGCAGCTTTCATTGATTGCAGAGGTTCCCGTCCCGAAGTCATGCAATAATTAAATTAATTTCTCCAAGGGAAGAGGACCCTTTGCGTCGACACATTTTCACATGGCTGCGAAAAATTTGCGTGGCCAATTCGGTCTTGTCACAATGTAATCGATCACAACTCAATCGCGCCGGGAGTTGTCATCAAGTTGCCAAAGTCATCCCCTGAAATGCTGATGATGATGATGAGGCTGCTGATGACTGACAATGTCACGCCAAATTAGTGCAGCTCTTTTTTGTTATTTCCGCAGCATTTCACTGGCATATGATTCATAAAAATTTCATAATTGCACAATAAGCGTGTCCAGTCTGCAGGAAACACGAATTCATCAACTCATTGCCCAGGTCACTCCCCTTTTCGGGGCTTCGGGACCCAGTTGCTCGATCGATCACTTACACCCTAATGATCTTATAATGCCCGCGTCTAGAAAAGATCGCCTAGTAAATGCGACTGCATTTCAAACGTTAAACTGTAACTGAACGAGAGATGGATATGGCGTAATATACTCGTACCCCGACCTATTGTGAGATAAGTAATGGTAATTTTTGAAATGATTGATTAACCAGCGACTTGGCATGGCTAACTAGGTTGCATTAGATTTATGGAGCTCCAAGTTCTGTATAGATCAGAAAAACCGCCCGTAATATTAATTAGCTTTGAAGGGTAATGATTTTATTATCTTACCTGGTATAAATAGAAAAAGGGAAAACAGTTCCAAACTAATAAATAAATTAAATAATATCAGGTCTGACTCCAAACGAGTATATTGAACTTTAGTTTTTATGAATTATTTTTGAAATTGGCTTTGAAATTACTTCTTCAAATACTATTTGATGATTATTGCCCTGCTTCAGCTATAAATCTTTCGTTGAAGGGCTTGAAAACATTTATCAAATGCAGTTTGTCAAAGTGTGAAAATAGAGAATGAAAAAACCGGTAAAAACAAAAGGCGAGGAAAACTCTACTAAAGTTGGTTGGGTAGAAAAAGCGCTAAAAGAAAGCTGGTTTCCAAAGCAAAATGTGCAAAAATGTCAGAAAAATTCGCAATCAAATCGCAGCGGGTGTGCAGCTTGCGGTGACTGGACCTGGGAAACTGGACACGGGCCGAGGGATTCTAGTCAGGGAGTGGGAAGCCGGGACAGAGGACAAAGGACACACAAAGTGTTGGCCAGCCGGCGGCGATGGGAGCTCCATTAACGAGTGGCATACAAAGGAAGTGGTCTGGGGATAAATCTGGGTTCCTTTTTCGATTTGGAGTGGGTGATGAACGAGTGCGGATATTCACACTCGAGTGACACAGGTTGCCTGAGGTGTGTGTGTGTGTGAGTGTGAGAAGGAGTCCTTGTGGCTGCTCGAGTGTTGGTGCATTGCACTGCGCCTAGTTGTATGCAACATGATTTAAGAGCCTCCATCCTTGCTTTTGCTGCACTTTTTGCGGCCGTTTGTTGTTCATTTTGGTGCACAGTGCCCGTCATAAATATCAGCACACTGCAGTGGCCTGCAACCAGTCGGTGGACTGGGCTCTTGGCCATTGTCCAGTGTCGCGTGCCTTGTGGTTTGGCAAACGCTGCATTGATGATGCTCAGGTGATTCATCATTTCGAGTGTTGTTCATTGCAACGTTTATTGCGATTTTTACAAACGCACTCGAAAAATCGCTGGCACCGAAAACCTTCTGCGTTTATTGCAGCCAACGCGATTTATGTGCGGTTTTGGGGAGAATACTTTGTTTTTGTCTCTGGTTAAAATGCAAGTCACGTTCCGGAAGTTATTAACTAGGGGATTGGAGATGGAATTTAAAAGTGCGAATACGTGAATCCATTCCTGAACCTAATATGTCTGAACAATTTTTAAAAATAGGTTTTTAAGTAAGATAGAAATGTTCTTTAAAAAAAAAAAAAAATTATTAAAATTTATTATGTGTAAGCAGGAATAGCGCATCATGTTTTAAAAACTGATTTAAAGCACTTGAATAATTCGCAACGCACGCTAAAGCATATAAATAAATACTATTCCGACGGGTATTTTACCTTATCGCTAAACAACAGATAAGAAAGGTTAGAAATGGAACAAATTATTTCAAACTCTGAATTTTATGATGGGTACTTATTTGCATTGCACAAAAGCATGGAGAACGGTGAGCTTATATCTTGGCAGCATGTAAATAAATATTTTATTACCAAAACAAAAGCTAAGCCGCCCGCACACTTCTGCAATCAGCAACGCCCCCTTCAATGCGATCTGCAAGTGACAGTTACCAGCCTCATAATCCGCTGGCTATAAATTTAATTGCCATTAATGACACTCGAAGACAAAGGAGTTGGGAAAGCGGGAAAACGGGAAAGCGAAAGGCGGAAAGCTGTCCGCAGGCGGCTGCCAAAATCACGCGGCGGAAATGAAAACATCTTGAGGCCAAATGTGATTTGCATTTTTAAATCAATACACAAAGACTCAAGGAATCGCGCGGCAGGACAGGGATCGGATCGAGTGTATATATATAGACTTCAACCCCCGCACACACGTGTCTGGTCTGCTACCCTCTCTTTCGCAGGGCAACTTTTTAAGTGTCGTGTCCAAAACAAATTCGTCTGTTTTTGATTTGTCGAAAAATGGGGGAGAAAAAGAATCACGCAGCTCGAATAAAGGAAATTCCCGCCAACGCCTGGCAATCAACTGTGGATTTTCCACCCGCCTCCCCCACCTCATATATCTCTCTCTTTTGGCATTTTCACGTTATAAATATTTTTATTTTCCATTTCGTCTGGATTGTCTTTTGTGTTTTTCGGATTTACGGGGGGATTCCCACAGCAGACGCCTGCAGAGCATTCTGCTCTTATTTGGTTTGCGATTTCGATTTCCTTCTCGCGGCTTTAAATCAAATTGCATGATAAATAATCCCTGAATGGGAATCGAGAGTATTTAACACTCGATATGGGTTGGCCTTTTGCGTTGTTTGCTTTGCTTTTTATGAGTCTTGTTATCCTTTAAGGGCCGATTAGTTTTTGGTTTTGATTTAAGATGGAGATTTTCTATAAACGGTTAGGGATTAAAATTGGTGAACTCATAGTGCAGTTTTAGGTGGTATTTATCCAAGCCTTTCCCACTTTGGAATTTAATTCTGGATCTCCCTTTTGGAAAACATTTCTTAAATCAATTCTTAACAAAGGTTACGTTATACTTATCTAAAGTTGATTCCTTTATATAGAAATGCCGTTAAAAATATGACGAGCTTTTAAGCAGGGACATAACATTAAATGCGCTTTTATAGCCTATCCTGATTATCGGAATCAAATCAAAGAGCACTTAAGCCCACCCAAAATGTTTATAACTCAGATTTCATTTCAATTTGCCAATTTGCAACCCTCCGCGCCAAACGATTGGGAAACATTAAAAACCATCATTCGCAGCTTTGGTTACAAAATAAATTGTTGACAAATTGCTAAATAAACGCTCGCCGGCCACAAGCCAAAGTATTTTGCAAGCACTTCGGCTGATTCTGTTTCTGAAACAATAACCACAAAAAGGGGAGGACTCCAAATGGACCGTGGTCAGTAACCCAAAACGCACTGCCAACTGCTGTCGGAATGACTTTGGCAAATAGTAGCAGACTATTTAATACGCTATTACGCAGCATATCGAATGACATCCGGGGCTCGAAATGGGTTGACAGCCTGCCCTTGGGATGGATTCATACCAAGTGAGGACCAACCACCCACCCACCGATGGCCAGCCTCATTAGTTAACATATGTTGCCGGAGTCGGGACGCTGGAATCTGGCTTCTGGCTTCGAGACTCCATCTCCTGCCAGCACATCCTCCCCCACAGAAACAACAGCTTGTGCTCATTGCCCAAAGTCAATTTTCGGCAAAAAAAAAAAAAGAGAATAGAGGGGAGGAAGAAAATCTCGGAGGAGGGGAGCAATTTGTAGTCCACTTTCCACCCGACTCTTCTGGGTGGTTTATAAAAACTTGAAACAAATTCTATGCGCGTTATGCTGGCAGCGTGTCAGAAAAATATGTTACTTATCGTTTTGGCTTACTGTCAATGGAATGGGTCTTATTTCTTTGGGTGATTGCTATTCAGTAAGGCTGGGTCTTTAACAAAGTGGCAAAACGTTTAGCCGGACTTCGTGAGTGCTTAAGAACTTAATTTCGGGTAGGAGTTTTGGCCTAAGGAAGTGGAAAGGTTAACTTATATTAACCCAGACTATATAAAAAAAAGAAGTTCAATTTGATTGATATAAAACTGTTATAGCTTCAAAACAATCATTTGTTGTACCTACCAAATCAAATTATCCAATGACTTTCCTTTATTATCCTTGATTTTTTGAAACAATTTAATTCCCTGTTGCACCAAAATCCACAATTACCCATAACCGCTAATTACTATTCACAACAATTGAAATTTAGTTTTTGTCGCCCGGGCAAAAATTTGCATAAATTAAATCATTATATGAGTGGCGAAAAATAATACGAGTATTTTTGCGTTAGACAATAATTATAATTATAGGCTTGGAGTGGGGGTAGAACAGGCGTTACATGGCCAATATTTGTTAACAAGCCGGACTAACACAACACGACTAAACTCGACTCGTTTCGGGTTAATCGAGTGCAGTTCATAATTCTATAATTTCCGAGGCGAGTTGTTTATCGAGAAATTTCCGTTAGTTGTTTGCTCTCAGCAATGGCTGGCTGAATTAGAGCTAGAACAGGTTCAATATAGAATTAACTTTTGCCTTCAGCTCATTAAACAAGGCTCGTGGAACAGTTAGCGGAAATGTCCGGACGCCTCTCCTTGGCACACTAAGTTGCACGCTTTATAATTAATTTCCATCAGAAACAGACGATGGCGATGACGACGGTGGGCCAGTGGTTCCCAGCTTTCCCAACCATTCCCCCCATTTATCCGACTGACTTTGGGCCGGACCCATAATCATTAATCTTATCGCCGCCTGAGCTTATTATTTCAATTGCTCGAGGGGTGGCGGAAAATGGGAAAATCAGGCTTTTCCCCAGCGCCAGACGCTGGAAAACTTAATGACCGGAAGTAAGCGGAACAGCAAACCGAATAGCAAATCCCAAAGACGGCCACGTGCCACTGGGAGTTGGGTGCTTTCGCGAGGAGAAGGCCAGGAATCTCTGCGGTTAATCGGTTGTTCAACATGTCAGCAGCTTTTTGTGACCGCTGTTTACTTATTTATTTATCAACGACACAGCTTAGGTCTAATTGAGGGGGTGGCGCTGGTCCCCCTCCTCGAGTTCACGCATCAATATGCTTTAAATTTCACATCAAGTCACAATCTAATTACCGCCGGGGTGTGGGTCTCCCATAAATTGTTGCAAATTGTTGTCGGTCCTGGCTACAAAGTGCGAATGTCCTGCTGTGTCATCGGCACGCAAGGAGCAGGAGGAGCCGCCCGGACTGCACAATAACTCAAAAACAGCCCATGAAGAGGTGGGCCAAGGATGCGGCCCGACGAGTCCTGCAATCTGCTTCAAGTGTCTCAGCCCGCCTGTCAAATGCAGGGAGCCGGCGGTCCTGGAAAGGATGGCACTGGCAGGAAGTGAGACACAGGACTTACAGCACTTTTGCTGGACCAACTTTGCAGCCCGCACCGTGTGAGCAGAATAAATAAATACATATGAGATCAAGGCGTACTAAGGGGTTCGGAATTTGGGAAATGTATTTAAATAGTTAGAAGAAGTAATTTTTAATATCATATATATACATACATATATGATATAAAATAAATTTAAGAAAGTTCAGTATTGGCTCTTTCAGTATGTAAAATAAAATCCCTTTATGTTTTTTTTCTCAATTTACCTGAATTACAAATGCTTTGAGTTGTGTTAGAGCACAGTGAAAAGTCCTTCGAACTTCTCCATGTTTGCGCCACTGTACGGCCTCTAATCAATTTGTAGCCGCTTTGGGTAAATGTCTCTAATTTGCATTTATTATGGATATGCCCGGCGTCTGGCGATGGCAGTGCAGTTCAAACTTATGCCCGCTCCATGGCCACGCCCACACACACGACCCGCCCCCTCCCAAGTGGGGTGGTGGATGGGTTTATGCGAGATTCAATTTGCCACAGAAAAGTTTGTGCCGGGATGGCCGGCAAAAGTTTGCTTTTCGAGAGCGGAATTTAGTACCCACACCACTCATACGCCCCGATGGCCATGAAAAGTTTCAGATTTGTTCCCCAATGTCCCTGCCTGACTGGCATCTCAGTTTTCCTGCTCCGGACAGCTTTCCATCTGCTGGACAGTCTCAATTTACCCATTTCAATGAAAACGGATTTGTTCTCAACTCATTCATTCTTCGCTTCACTTGCAGGTGAAAATTTGGTTTCAAAATCGGCGGATGAAGTGGCGAAATTCCAAGGAGCGTGAGCTTCTGGCCAGTGGAGGATCCCGAGATCAAACGCTGCCCAACAAGAACAATCCCAATCCCGATTTGAGCGACGCCAAGTGCGATCGTCCACTGACGCCCATCTCACCCTCTCTTTTGTCGCCCAACGGAAGTGCCACGCCCCCGCCAGGGGCGGTGGCCAAGGACGAACCGCCGGCGGCGGCTGTAACCCCAAAATCCCCGCAATCCGCCAGCAGCAGGAGTTCTCCATCGCTGGGCTACGGCCTGCAGATCAGCTCACCACCTCCGCTCCTCACCAGCCTAAAAATGGGCGATCAGTCAGCGGCTGCCACGCCCACTCCTGTAGCCGGAACCACGGTCTCCTCCGCCGCCTCCTCGCCGCCCAGTGCGGCGGAGTTCCAGGCCAAGATAAACGCCGAGATGCAGAAGCAACTGGTGGCCGCCGATCTCAAGTTCAAGCTGGAGAACAGCATCCAGGAGGCCAAGCAGCGGAGGTTCGAGCAACTGCAGCAGCAACTGCACCACTCCCCACATTTCAGTGCCATGAGGGAGGTGGAACTGGCCGCCGCCGCTGCAGCTGCGCAACTGCATCACCACCACCAGCAGCAACAGCAACAGCAGCAGCAGCAGCAGCAGCAACATCAGCAGCAGCAACATCAACAGCAACAGCATCCACAGGGCTCCGAGTTCATGAAGCTCTACTACGATGACTACGACGACTCGAATTCGGATAGTGACGAGGAGATCAGCGTAACGTGATTCGTCACTATTCAAATGGGAGGGGAACTGCAGCAGGTCGTGTACATATATGTTTTAATTGTAAATTTATTGATGCATTCTAATTACTGTATTTAATATGTGTATAATATTTTTTCGAATTTAAATTCCCAAGCGAAATAAACTTCTTTGAACAATTTACACAGATTTTTGTTCATATTGGGGATTTTAATTAATTATTACCCACAAAATTTAAAACCTTTTTGAAATTTCAGCGACAAATGCTGATTAGGAATATATAGGTTTTATTTGCATGATGCCTTACGAGTAAAACGAACTAAAAATAGTAACATTAGTAAGTGTGTGTATACAGAATACTGAGCCAACAACCTCGGCTGGGACTTACGAACTAGAAATCACTCTTTCGACTAAACTAGGACAGTTAACAGATTGCGACTGGTCTTTGTACATGGAGGTTACAGGTTACACAAGGAATACACCAATGGGGATGGGGAGTCGGGTTGACCCCCATCCTCGTTCGAGTTTCATTTTCGGGTCGAGTTCTATTCGTCGTCGATGCGAATGGCATGGTTCACATGGCCCTCGTCACTGGGAGTCTCGCGGGGATGGGGATCCATCGACGTGGTGGTGGTCACATTGCTCGTGTTGGTGTACTGCACCTGGGAGTCGCTCTTGAAGATCTCCTCCGAAACGGCGGGATTGTCGATGCCCTTGCCGGTGATCTTCAGCACATTGCGCCTTTGCACGAAGTCGATTATCAGGGAGATTATCAAGCCGAGGAAAACTGTGAGCAGACAGCCAATCATGCTGTACCACATGTAGCTCAGCCGGAAAATGGGCCACGATCTGCAATCAAAAATATGAAAATATTACTAATGATAAACCTAATAGGGAATAAGTTAAACTTACGTGAATCCACCCTCTCCCACAACATCCATGGGTTCCTTGAGCAGATCTCCAATGATGTCTGTCAAGTTCACGTGACAATCGCATTTCTCGATGGATGTGGGCAACGCAGGCTCTTCCACACTGGCAATCTGAGCCACCACTCCCACGAAAATAACCAGGGCCAAGGATAAAAGACCACCATAGAAAGCCCCTTTGGTATTGGCCTGCTTGCAGGCGATTCCCAGGACGAAAAGGCCCAAGGTCACACCGCCAATCAAACCATTCAGGGTCAAAGTGGCCTGCAGAACTCCTCCCAGATGTTCCACGATGAAAACAAGGCCAAAGGAGGCAATGCCAAAGCCCAATGACATCCACTTGGCGTAGGTGGCTCCCTTTTCGGGAGAGATTTTGATGTTCATGCCGTTGACGAGGAGATCCTCGCAGGTCACAGCGGATAAGGAGTTCAAGGCAGAGGCCACAGTTCTGTTCAGAAAATATAATATTATTAATATTAATATTATTAAGGTCCTGCAGCATTAAATAAAAAAAACTCACCCCAAACTGGCTGCAAAGATGCCAGCCACAAAGATTCCCGCAACAGAGTAGATGTGCTCGTAGGTGTTAATCACATAATAGGGCAACAACTGATCCGTGGCCGAGATACGTCCTGCCGTCAAAGGATCACAGTCGGAATAGTGGGTGAAGACCATCAGACCGGTGTAGAAGTTCAGCAGGAACACTGCAATCAAACCAATTATGGCGAAACCCAGGGCAATCTTGGCCAGCCTCAAGGACTTCAAGGACATGCACTTTTGCACGGAGGCTTGATTGGTGCAAAACAGCGAAGTCCAGTAGAAAAAGCCACCGATAACCACAGACCAAACGGTGTGACGAGTAGTAGGACTGGGATCGAAGCTAAAGGATTTTAGGGGTTTATTAAGGATCTCAGATTAGTCAGGTTTAGCTCACTTGAAGAACTCCAATCTATTGTGTTCAGCAGCAGTTTGGAAAACCTGAATGGGATTGCCGCTGTAATAGCTTCCCAGACCCACGATCAGCACTAAGGATACAGCCAGGACAGCAGCCTGGAAATTATTTAATATTAAAAACAGGTCTCAAAGAGTTTTTCTTATTGAAAGCCCACCTGGAATGAATCCGCAATGACAACCGCTTTCATGCCACCTTGTGAGGAGTAGAAAACGCAGACCACGTAAATAAGGATCACGGCTATTTTGGTGTCCAAGCCAGTGGCTTTCGAAAGAGCAATTGCAGGAGCCAAAACAGCCACTGCAGTATAGAAGCACATCTGGAAGAGGGGTTTCAGTTATGCCTTAAAATCAAAGGATAAAAATAAACAATTTACCAACCTGTATAACATAGAGTACTGCTCCTAGAATTCTGATTTCCTTGCCAAACCGAATGCCCAGGTATTCGTAGCAACTGGTGAGCTCCATTTTGAAGTAAATAGGGTAGAAGATCTTCACGGCCACCGGGATAACCAGCACCATGGGGATAACGATGAGCACGAACTGAGTGCCCTGGAAGTACATCTCGGAGGGATTTCCCAGCAGTTCAATGGCCGTAATGAAACTTGTTGTCAGACTGAGGGTCACTGGGAAAATGCTCATCTCGGAGCCCAGCAGGAACTCATTGGAGGAGCTGCCGCCCTTTTGGAAGAACCCGTAGAATATTCCGATGCCCAAGGAGATGACCAACATGCCCAACAGGATCACATAATCGTATCCCGAGAACGTGGCCTTGTGACTGGGAGCACTGCACTCCTCCAAGTCCTTGGAAGCGGTGACCTGCTGGTTTTTGAAGGCTCGCAGGAGCAGAGTGGCCGCATTGTCGAACTCCACATGCTCCTCCGATCCGGAAGCGCCACCCGGATACTCCCCTCGCACGATCAAGTACTTGTGACTCGGCTCCAAGGGAGCAGATCCTGGAGCAGGAGACTTTTCCGACAGGGCCAAGGCGGTTATAGAATGTGCCAGGGCGCACAGAGTCAGCAACTTCAAAATGGTATCCTGGGTGGCAAACATCCTGGATCCTGGATTAGTGCGGTGTGTGGGGATGCGAGGATTTTCCGGGAGAATACCTTCTCGAGTCGACTTTCCACCCGGCGAGGTGTGTGCAAACTGAAACGAGAAAAGATCGGAAACGATTTAGACTTAGATCATTGCAAGATCAAGGTTCGCGAAGAGAAATTGCAACGAGGCGGCACCACAAAGAAATTTCGCACAGTGGGTGTCAGTTTTGGTGTCATCTTGGGAGCCCATTAATTAATTAACGAAACTGATCTGGCAAAGGGGAGGAGTGGGGAGTGGGGCATCGACCATCGAGCATTGGCCATCGGGCAGCGCCTCATGTTCAAGTACAAATATATTATTTCCTTAAGCAAACAATTCCATTTGAGCGTAATTGTTTTATGATTAATTTGTTTTCTTTATGGGCCGGGCGTCAAGGCAACGCTTTTGGAGATACTTTATCTTCGAAATGGCATCCAGAGTTATGGCTCTGTAAGAGTTACAAGTGGATGGGCGAAAAGATTAGCCCGCAGAAAGCTGCTTTTAACTGGTTGTTCAGTCGCTCAAACTGGTTATTTCTGGCCAAAAGAAATCGCATGGATGATGTTCAAGATTTGGAATTTGATAAGGTATCTAGCTTAATGCTTGAGATCAATAAAAGGAGATTCTAAAACGCAAAACATTTAAATTTTTGTATACTAGGTATTAAAATTACTAATAACTAACTAAAAATTACAAACTTGACATAAAAAGAATATATTTAAATATGTTATGTCAGCTGTATCATCTTGCTGCACTTAAAGTTCCCGTTTGATTTATGCAATAACATGTTTCCCTTAAATTTACAGTCTCGGTATTCATTATTCATCTTTGAGTAACTTAAATTTATTACACATTCCTCGTTCTCTTGTTAATTGTTAAATCATAAAAAACACATTTTGCAACTGATAAACGATGGCAATCACTTCCCATTCAATTGATCCCAAACACTCGACAATTACTTCTGATGAAACTAGAAGCTCTGGCGCCTCCCTCCCTCCCACTCCTCCTGCACCCGCCCACTTTTCCGGCCAATCAAACTATTAAAGAAAAGCTGCTCCTGTGCGCCATGGACAAATACACACACATGGCAAACAAATAGGGCCACAAAGTTTGAGCGAAAATGGGGAATGTGAGCGCGCCAATCGAGGTTTAAGCGAATTCAACTGGTTTAGATCGGTGGCCATTGGACTGAGCCGGATTGCGCCGGTTTGGGCCAGAAATTCGCCATCGCTCGGCGAAGCTCCAAAGAGCAGCAGCATCCCGCTGAACGAAGGCAAGGCCAAAACTAAGAGCAAAAGGCCCAACAAGAAGAGAGCGATGGCCAAAATGAAATGCTACACAGTCATTAAATTGCAGTAAATTATTTGATACATTTTTGATTTTATAAAAGTATCAGTGTATAAAAGGATTTCATTTTATTGCAGATATTAATGCAATAAATGAACACACACAAAAAAATTAAGGAGAATATATATTTTAAAATTGTTTTGTATAAATTTCAAAAATAAAATTGAATTGTTCATATATAAAAGTAATGTTAGAAATAGTTAATTCCTTTCTATCTAAAAATGTATTATTATTTTTTTTTATTTAGTTTTTATAAGTACCTTTCATGACAAAGTGATTTACTATAGATAAACAAATACATATAAAATTTCATAAGGGGCTGTTCAAAACATTTAAATAAATTATAATAACTTAGAAGTGATGATTTTGTTTGTTGGCTTTGGGTTGTAAGAGAAACTTGTTTTCTTGGAGGAAGAACACACAGGTTCTGGCTTAATTGTTGGACTTTTCCCCCAAACCCACTCCAAAAGCCCTTCGATCCCACTTAATGGCATCATCTTCTTCGTCGGCAATTGATATGCGTGTTTTGTTTTGGTTTTCTTGGCGCCTTTATCTCGCTGGAGAAACCCCTTCTATTCTATTAATTAATTCAAACAAAATAATCAATTTGACATGATTTGTGGCGCAGACTGTTGGCAGAAGATACAGATCGCAAAGTGGGTGAACACTTGTCGTTGCTTCAGAAAAATTCAACCGCCGAGAATATTACCTAATTCTAAAGGCAAGAGCCAGCAAAAAGTCAAACAATTAACTATAAACTTAAAATACTTTCGGAATGGGAGTTCAGCTTTATCGGCTGGTTCGACAAATGAATTTCCACAAACTGTTTTCGCCCCATAATTTTGTTACTTAACTTAGTCAAAGGTAATTTACATGGATTGATCTTGTTACAGTTTTTCCATTTCTGGTTTAAGTTATTTCGAACTATAAATTAGGTTGTATTGGGTGTTTGCATTAGCAGGTAGTTAATCAACAACAACTAGTATTAAACACTCAAAATAACTCACTGCATACTGACAGTTTAACACTCAATCCGCTTTCACATTTACACTTCCTCACCTTGGTTAGTTGATTTCCAATTCGATAAGTTCAATATCCTTCGTATGTCGTCTTCGTTTAGCTCTCAAATGGAATTAAACATGGAAAATCGTATCTTAGAAATGTTCTGAATTGTATTTGCAAAATTGTGCCACGATTATTTCTGTATTTCATTAACGTGTTTTTATTTTATTCACTTAACAAACGTATCACTATAAATTATTATCCTTTGTGAGGTCCTTTTTGGAGCTTTGTCCTTTGTGGTTTGATTCACTTTGAGCACTATTTATTTCCTTGGGTTTCCTGCTCGTGAGCCGCTGTTCGAACGTATTGACAATTTTCAAATGAATGAGTTTTGCAAGCAGCCGTTACGCTTTTTTATACGACACCCAAGGCGGCGCAGGCAAATCACAGATCACAGATCTCGAGCTCCCAGCTTCGGGAACCCCACATATCGAGATCGAGATCTCTTCGGGGTCTTGAAAAGCGGAGAAAGAGCGAATATCGAACTAAGAGCAGGCGAACCGACGCCGGATGTGCGATCGCCGATCTTCGTGCGAGAGAAAACTAAAGTGGTAGCCAATAGTCGTTTGTGGTGCTAAGATATAGGCAACTTATTTTAAATGTGGGCCTGGACTTAAGATTTATACCTATTTAAACAAGGTGGACGTTGAAAATAAAAACCTTTCGGACATATGAAGACTGTTTTTCTATGACATGATCAGTTGAATTTAAATAAATTATTAATTAGCCATTTACCAAAAAAAAAAAAAAACTTTATTCAGTCAGTTTTTAACTGGTATATTCAATAAATAAGTTTATGTAAATAAATTTATAATTTTAAGGTGAATTGTAAAGAAGTTACATTGAAATTCATTCAAATCTAAAATGTATAACGATAAAACAGTTTAATTCCGTCAAATTTGTCAACACATTATTAGCAGTAATAAAGAACTCTTTAGAGAAAATTTATATTAAAAAATATAAATCAATTCTGCACTGCCCCTTTTTTAAGAGGCACAGCTTGACATTTAAACCGGGGTTAAGTAATCCGAGAACAATAAATTCTGGATTCGAGGCAGGGAGCTAAATTTGATGAAAATTGTTTGCCAAACCATCTAAAAAAGGTTCAAGCGAATTGCTGCCAATTAATTTCAGAATTGCAACGAACTGATTCATATACGAAGCATCATTTCGATTCCGGAGAAGACCCCTCAGGGAATGTCAGAAAATATCCGGAATTTTCCAACTCCTTTGCAGACCAAGAAGCCTCATCATTAATTGGCTGGGTGACAAGTGGGCAAGATAAATAAAATGCGTTGCAAACAAAACACAAAAGTTTAATTGCTGGTTTTTAGCCAATTTCGGCTTGCGTGATGTGTAAATAGTGCCATTTGGCTCACCCTTTATTACTTTTTAAGTAACACAAGCCCGAGTCACAAAGGAAAAAAGTGCGCCAATTAATAACGAAACGATTTTATCTTTCCTTTTTGTATATTCATCGCCTCGCCTCAATTGCCGCTGGTTATGTTATGTCTTACTTGGATAACGATAACGAGTTCGATCTGGTACGATTTTGATCAGGCATGACACTCTTTCTCCAGCTAATAGAAAATTATTTGTTTACAATTCTTTTGCGCCAGTGTAAGTGTTTAATTTTAATTGAAATGTATTAGGAATTTAAATTCGAATTGAAACGGCGCCGGCCAGTTCAAAAAGAGTTTCAATCACAATAAATTTACATTGAGGCCGAAGAAATGGGAAATGCACGTGGATCGGTCTTGTGCATCAAAATAAGATCACCGAAAACTAATTTCGAAAATATGTGGTACTTCCCCTGAAGCGGAAAGTCTCCAAATCATCGCAGTGGCCTAAGGTCACCGAGTTAACTGGGCAGATATGCATTTAAGCATGAAGCGTGTTGCATTAATTAAATATTCCCGCCATGTCGTTAACTAACAGTCTCATGTAAATCTTGGCCATTCAACTACTTTAGCCGACGAAAAGCAGTTAAAAGCAGTTCGGCAAATGCGACTCAGTGTTTAGGCCCGAAACGATCCTACAACAAATCCAGCAAAAACACCAGAAACTCTGATTTCTCGAATGCAAGTGGCCGGAGACGTCACAAAACTGGTCGAGCCTCTCGTCCGTCTAGTTGTTCTTTCGGACTTTGGTCCGGTTGGGTCGGTACCACTTCAGAACATTTACAAAACATTTACAAGACGAGATCGCCACACGTGCTGGCTGCGTGCTGTCGAAATATACGCAACATCAATAAAAGAATTTTTGGAAAATTCTCAGTTTGTTCCGGCATTACACAAGATCATCGTCTGGAAACGGCCGCCCATCCATATTTATGAAACAAACGGGAGAAAGCGTAGTAGTCAATTAATGCACTAATGAGAGTGGGCGTTGACATTGCTAAAATACTTAGCAATAATTGAAGCACTGGGAGAGAAATTCGAGTTTATAGTTACTTATATTTAAATGCTGATTACTGTGAATTAGTTTATGATACCTAAGCCATGTGAAATTCATATAATTTTATCAATTCCTAATTCAGATATCCAATAAAAACTTATTGTATCACTTTCTGCTAGCAAGAACTTTTTCGATAAGTGTGCATAAAAGTAGTTATATAGGTATTTATATCATTAATTGAATGTCTCAATTAGCTGGTCGCGGCCAAGTCATCCTACTTTCGTCATTGTATTAAAAAACAACAGTGGAAAAAGTAGTAATTAAATCTTTTAGTTATAAATAAAACAATTTTGAAAAAGAAGATTTAAACCGTTTTAGAAATTATTTTTAAACTGACCGCCCACCACACTAATAGTCTGGCAACATTGTTACTAGCAGTGTGGCCACATGGCTGGATTCTAAGCAATGTATGGTGTTATAGGCAGAAAACAAAACGGGCATACAACAAAAATAAATATAATTGTAAAATCGTAATTTTTAACATAGTTTCTTAATTGTAAAGCTGAATCCAAAATGAGTGCCGCCGCAGCCGCCACGGGGATTCAGAGTACCGCGGGTGCCATTCCTATGCGCAATGAAAAGGGTAAGACGTGGAATGCGATCTTCTCTAGAAAATGAGCACCAAAGCCATTGTTTATAACTCCTTCACAGGCGAATTGTCTATGCAAAAAGTCAAGGTGCAGCGGTACATATCCGGAAAGCGGCCCGATTACGCCAGGGCGGATTCCAGTTCGGAAGAGAGTGACGAAGATGACTTCATTGACTCCAAGAAACGCTTGGAGCGCCACAAGGCGGAGCGTCACAAAATGGAGCTCTCCCGCCGCGGGGGCAGCGCGGACGGGGAGGATAGGGCACCGGGAGAAAACCAAGCGGAAGACGAGGCCGAGGTAGACGATCCCCGGCTGCGGAGACTCCGCCAAAGACCCGTGGACATGGAGGACATGGAACGGGAGCGAAGAGAACGTCATCGCCACATCCACGAACCTGAAATCATGGACAGCGACAGCGAGGACGAAGAGGTGGACGAGGAGCCACAGGGCGCCATCGAGCGGGGCACCAACAAGATCACACTGGCATCCGAGTCCGACACTGATGCCGAGCTTAGTGACACAGAGCTGGAAAACCGGCGAACCAAACTCAGATCGCGAATGCTGCAGCAACAGCGTGAAGAGGAGGTACTCCAGAAAGAGGATGAAAAGCAGTCAGAATCTTCGGAATCGGAAAGTTCTGAATACGAAGAGGAAACGGAAAGCGAGGAGGACAACGAACCCCGTTTAAAGCCGCTCTTCGTTCGGAAAAGAGATCGTGCAACCATCCAGGAAAAGGAGCGGGAAGCTCAGAAGCAAAAACAGCTCGAGGCGGAGGCCAAGCGGGCGGCTAAAGAGCGGCGAAGAGCTACACTTCGAATGGTGGAAGAGAGCGTTAAAAAAGATCTGGAAAAGACCAAGCCGGAAACCAACGAGGCCTGCATCGAGGATGTGTGCACGGATGACGAAAACGACGAGGTGGAATACGAGGCCTGGAAGCTGCGGGAGCTGAAGAGAATGAAGCGGGATCGCGAAGAGCGGGATAAGTAAGTCATCTCAGATTACTAATGGAATGCCTTTTAATGATTAATCTTTATTTGCAGCATTGAACGTGAAAAGCTGGACATAGATCGCATGCGCAACATGACCGAGGAGGAGAGACGCCAGGAGCTGCGCCAGAACCCCAAGATGGTCACCAACAAGGCAACTAAGGGCAAGTACAAGTTCCTGCAGAAGTACTTCCATCGCGGTGCCTTCTATCTGGACGAGGAGAACGACGTGCTGAAGCGCGACTTCGCTCAGGCCACCCTAGAAGATCACTTCGACAAGACCATCCTGCCCAAGGTGATGCAGGTGAAGAACTTCGGCCGCTGCGGTCGCACCAAGTACACGCATTTAGTGGACCAAGACACTACCAAGTTCGACTCGCCCTGGTACGCCGAATCCTCCAGCAACATTAAGTTCCACAACGAACGCGGTGGAGGTATGCGGCAGAACTTTGAAAAGCCGACGGGATCGAAGCGAAAGAAGTTGGAGTAGTAATAGGCAGTAGGACAATCGTAAGGATTTATTTGACAAGCCATGGAAATGCAACAATTTGTACAACTAAATTTGTATGGCCGAATCTGAGTTAACCCGTAGAAAACATGAAACAAAAACTAAATATAATACAAATACTTAAATTTAAAGCTCCATCTAAACGTTCCTTGTGGTAATGTGATGTACTTCGCTTAGTTAAACAGAACAGCATTGAAAGTGGCTGTAGAAGATTGAGAAACAAAAAACACGTATCAAAAAAATTAAATATAATACAAATCGTGGCCCTTAAAGTTTGAGCTTGTGCTCGTCCAGGAGTTCCGTGTTGTGTTGGACGAGAGCCTGCATGACGCCTTCGGTCTTAATGAAATGCACTTTCTCGTAGTTGTTCAGGCGCCGCTTGAATTTCGTGTCCTTGCTTGTGGTAACCACATAAAGATCGACACTGACGGCCAGTGAAGGCGGCTGGATGTGCACCTTCCCGCCGGCGCTTTGAATGATGACTGGGGAGATAAACAAATGTAAGATTTACAGAAGGCAAAAATATATTGAAAAGACTTACCTTTCATTTCGTTTGGCTTGGGTATGATGTCTTCGCCAAGCATGAAGTGCAAACCACTCAACACACGAGAGTGCTCCATTACAGATAGTGGTTTAAACTTATACACCTCCTTGAACTTATCATCATTAAACAGATGATCTGCCTTTATGTCGATGCTTCTGTTCTTTTTTACGGAATGCAACCAATTTGTGGAGAGAACGGGCTTGTTGGAAGCTATGGCCGTGAGGAACTTGTAGGTGCGCTCCCCTTTGTCCATGATGAGGAGGTCGCACTGCAAAGGATCTTCGGTGGTCTCAACCACATCTAAAAGTTGAAGGATCCATTTAGAAAACAAGCCAGTTTACGACTTTAATCATCTTACGCTTCAGGGCCTTCAAGACGGATTCCAACGCCGGACGATTGCACATCGTGAATGCTATCTTAATTTTTCCGTCCGCCTTGGCCTTTCTTACATATTGATTGAAGGCTACAGGAAAATATTTTTTAAGTAAGGAAACAAATTTAAGGCACGCAAAATTTACCTTTCAGGGGATCCGGGTCGGGCTGACTTAATCTTGTAGTGGCTTTAAAAAAAGATAGTTATAGATAAAAATTATAAATAGAATAAGAGTCAAACTCACTGGCTCCTAATCTGTTTATAGAATTCTCCTCATCAGCAGAAATTCTAGCCTTCTTTGTATTAATCGAACTACTGGATAGCTCTTCAATAGCTGCTCCTTTTTTGGGCCTTTTGCCAGCGGCGGTGCTGGATGAAACCTTTTCAACAGACGGCGTTGAAGAATGTGGTTGGGCAGTGGTTTGGTCAACACTAGTTCTGGATAAACGCACAACCGCACGTTTTAATGGCACGCTTACTATTGGGTTCTCAACATTAAGTGTCTCAGGATCGTCAACGAGAGTTTTGCGCCTTGTTCTGGTAGTTGTTTTGGGCTCATTCTTGGATGAATCCGTCTTACTTGCCTCAACGATTGTTCTTTTTCCCTTTTCTGATTTAACAGGGATCTTTGGATTAGCAACCTCAGCTTTCTCTTCACTAGCTTTGCGCGTATTTCTGGTAATTGGCTTCATCGTATCTTTGGATGTGTCAGCTTTACTTGTCTCCTCATCCTTCTTAGTCTTTTTCCCTGGTTTGACAAGTTTTTCAGTATTAGGCGTCTCAGCTTTCGACACATCCTTAGATGTGTCTCCCTTTTTAGTTACAGCGCGCCTAGGCTTCTTTGCCTCAACCGACTTCGAGGGTTGTACCTCTCTAGCTGTTTCAGCTTCGTCGTCGTTAGTCTTGGATTCTTTTGACCTACTTTTTTCGGTCATGCTTGCTTTTTTAGCCTCTTCCTCTGTAGTTTGACGCCGGGTTCTAATAATTCCTTTGGGGATATCCTTGATTGGTTTCTCTTTGCTGATCTCCGCAATGTTCGACTTTCTTTCTTTTTTTGATTTTACTGCTTTATCTGCATTAGGGGTCTCACCGCTTGTTTTTCGTGATGTTTTAGGCGATGCTTGGGAACTATTTTTGGAATCGTCCGCTTTAGTTGTTTTCGCAGAATTGGTCTCTTTTTCTTTCTCAGGAAGCATCTCAATATCAACGCTAGTTTTTCGTCTGGTTCTCGATATTGGCACATCCTTTGCTGTTTCGTCCTTACTTGTATCCGTGTTCTTGAGTTTTTTACGTCGGGTTTTCGTTTCTTTTTTGATAGATAACTCTTTTTTAGGTGTGTTCTCAACCTCAGCTTTAACTTTGTCCTCCTCTAGTGGTTTTCCTGGAGCGTCAACTCTTTTATTGATGCGATCTCTTCGAGATTGCCATTGGTTGACTTCCACCTTGAAAGCGGAGTCTTTTTTATCGATCTTTTCTTGCTCTTCCGGAATCGGGTTTACCTCAAGTTCAATGCAAAGAGATTTGCTTAGAGCTAAAAACTTAAACGTTAGTACATTTACAATGTACAATGCAATAACTTACGTTCTGAGTTTTTATCTACTGAAGTTGCTCGGCGTTTTCTCAATTTACTCTCCAATCTTTGATTTTTTCGGCTTGCTGTTAAATAAATGGATTTTTTATTTTTTAAATTATTTTGTATGTGAATTGCTTACGGGTTGCTGGAGGAGATTCCGACCTGGCTATGCGTTTGCGGCTGCCATCGCTAGTTGCATCATTTCGCCAACGAGCTTTGTTGCTTAGATCACTAAAAACTCCCTCAATCTGGCAAATCTAAAACATAAAATACATAATGCTAATGATCTGATGGATCTCGAAGCAAAGTTCATTAATTACCTTTTGGTAGTGATTCTTATCCTTAACCACACATGGCTCAAAGAATTTTATTGGCTCTTCGTTAGGATTTACAGGTGAAGTCGCTATCGTTCCTGAAATCATTTCTTTAAGCACAGCATCTATCTCATCACAAGGTTCTTCAAAGAACTTTGAGCCTGTAAAGGGTTGGAAGACTCAACTTTACAACACAAGGCCCTGGTCATATTCTTACCTGAAGTTTTTTTGGTATTGGGCTTGCGTGAAATATTTTCTTTGTTTCCTTCATTTAAAGATGCTTGCTTGACCAAATGAAAAGGTTGTGTGGCTACGAAGTCCTGGCACCGAGAGTTGTTACTGGGGAAAACTTGAGTGGCTATGAAATCTTGGTTACAGGACTCATTGCCTGGCTCTGAAGAGCCTACAGTTTGTGGGCGACCCAAGTTGAACGCCTGAGTGGCTATAAAATCTTGGTTGGGTTCATCATCTTCCGATGATTTAGGACCTTCACTTGGTTGCGGACGTCCTAAATTAAACGCCTGGGTGGGCACGAAATCTTGATTTGGTAAATCATCATCTTCTACGTCACTTTCCAACAATTTATTCCCGGGAAATCGTTGAGTGGCAATCATATCCTGATTGATATCCTGACTGCTGGCTGCATCCTCTTTGTCGGGCGTTGCGGTTGGCGTTTCAATGGTGGCCACAACCAGCTGTTTGATTCCGCCAAACTGCGGTGTGGTGGTATTTGTTTTATTTGCAGGACGAATAAACAGATCTGGACTACTAGATCCTGCACGCGCACCTCCGTCCATGATCAAATCCAACAGATCTGGCGTGCAGATCTGCAGATTATCGGAGGGAGCGGTTAGATCGGGAGTAATGCAAGCATCGCTACGCGGCGGGACTTTTTCCGCTTTGGTGCTACTTAGAGCACAGAATTTGGAGTTGCTGGCTGACCAGTTTAGGGCGCTCATTTCTAAGTCAGTGGCGTCCAATACATCTGAGAAAAAAGTGTTTGAATGCTTTCAAGCTTTTAATAAATCTGACTGTACCCACCTTGTTTTTTGTTTTCTTCTGGAGTTTCTTTAGGTTTAGGTGGCGGTAGAGGAGGCAGCACATCGCACAGAATTTGTGACGAGTCAAAATCATCGATGGCATCTTCGTTGTAGTCCTGGGTGCACATGCGGATCAGGCTGCCTTCGGATGAATCAGCATCGCTGTCCAGCATTAACTCTTGGTTAATCACAGGTGCATCAGGCTGTGCTGGCGGTAGGGCTGTTAGCAGATCCTGCGTTTCTGGTATTACAAAGTCATCGCCCAGCGACACTTTTTTAACGGTCGACGGCCTCTGAACGGCAACCGCCTGGGTCTCAGGTACAAAGAAACTGTCACCCGTGGTGTTAATAGTCGTGTTCGCTGACGGAGGCTGGGTTTCTGGTATATCACAACTGTCCGTGGTAATGTTGATTGACCGGTCCTTGAGGCACTCACCGAATCCGCTGCTGTCGTGGGCCTAAAAGAAATAACAGTTTTATATAGGACTTAGCTTCTTTGAAATTCAGAAAAATCTTAGCAAAAAAAATCTTATCTGTTTTCATATTTGCTAAATGGGATATATGATCTTTATTCTGGTTTGTAGAGGATGTTTGCCGGCTGCTCACCTCATCGTTCTCCTCTCCGATTTCCAGCCGGGCCTCCACATTTCCGAACCGCAGTTTCACCTTGCCAGCGAAGGCATCCTCCTGGCCGATGTCTACTACAGTCTTCTCTTGGCCGTTGACGAAGATCCGGCCCACCAGGGCGGCCAGACGCACAACTCCGCGCCGGAGGATGCAGGCGGTTGCATGGGCCAACTCCATTGACTGTTGGTTTTGAAAGGGATTTCAATAACCGTAAATTGTACACGAATCTCCCACTAGCTCACCTCATCGGCAATGCTGATTTCCAAACCCTTTTTTCGACCAATACGGTAAATAATATCCGGTTCCAGGTGTACTGCTGGTGACCCACTCACAATCAAGCGTACATCTGCCATCCTGGAGCAAGTCGCGCGGGAATTCGCGAGGCGTTTATTGAAAAACACTTGCAATTTGCAAATTCTGGTTTAAGAGCGCTCAAAAAACAATCGACTGCCGATAAGTTGCTATCGAGGGATCAGAGCTGCCAACTTCCACCGACCAGACAAGCAGTTCTGAAAATAATCAATTACTTCTTAAAATGTTCATTTGTTGCTCTAACATTCATTTTATAATGTTAACTATTGCAATTGTAATTGTTTGAAGAGCTATTCATTTATGCCACCTTATATATATATTTTATAGGGTCTCCTTCAATGGTTTGCAAACATCTGACCACGGTTGCCACTTCAAAAATTTTTAATGAGCCAAAAAAAGATAAAAAATGAGCCAATTTGAATAAAAAAGAGCCAAATTTTTATTTATTATTTTTTTTTAACTTTTATCATAAAAAAGTCATATACAAAAAATAAACAAAAACATCACAACACATTTTTCTGCAATGAAACTAAGGATTACTTGGTAATTTAAGTCATTCTGACATATGTTCAGAGCTACCATACCAGCGGAACAATTTAGTTTCGATCTGGCGCTTTTAGATTTCAGACATTAATCACTTTTATAATTGCACAACAAAAAAATGCATTAATAAAAAAATGAACTCGTTTTTTTTAAATTTAAAATATTTTGTATCGCTATTAGCAAAAAAGAGCCAAATTCAATAAAAATGGGCCAAAGAGCCAAAGAGAAAAAAAAGAGCCAGTTTTGGCTCAAAAGAGCCAAATCTGGCAACCGTGCATCTGACTGAAATTATTATACTCTTTTCAAGGGTATAAATATATCTAGAGAGCCCGCTATTTTCGATAAGTCTATCGTGCACACTATTCTTCAGCATTTTCACGCACCTTCGACAACCCTGCTGCAATGTTTACGCGTCGTTGTCGTCTCTATAGCAACCAATTGCATCTGCCGTAGGTTTTCCGTGTTTTCCAGGACCACGAGCAGTTAAACTCGAGCTGGCTCGACTATGTGTGAGGAATGAGTGACACAGACACGGACGACACCGATCTGTTGTTGCTCATACCGCCCAATTATTACACGGACACCGCGGAGCGACTGCTTCAGCAGGCGAAGATGAGCGCAGGCGTGGCTTCTGATGCACTGGCTATGCCCCCGCCCCCGGCGCCCACAAGTGCGGCGTACCAGTTCCTGCACCCCAGCAAGAAAACGGAGCTGAATCACATAAATGCCAGGCTGCAAAACATCGGATTGGATGGTGGTGATGATCGGGATTTCGAGGCACCTTCGGACATATCTACCATTTCCACGAATACGGTAAGGAATGCGGTAGGACGGCAAAACAGGGAGCTCCATGGCATGGTGCATTCTACGCCGAAAAGCGGATCCGTAGAGCCACCTCGCCACCGACCCATGGAGGATAACATACTCCTGGAGATTGATCACTACCTCGACGAGAACAATGCACACCGCTGGCAGAAGCAGAATCATTACCAACATCACCACAGCGATGATCATCTGCGGAACGAGCGGGTGGTGCAGGAGGTTCATTCGGCGGCCTCCTCTCTGCCCAGCATGCGGCTGGCTTCCTCCGCCTCCGGTGTTGCTTCAGTCGAAGCTGCCAGAGGAGCTCGCAACAGTCTAAGCGACAATAAGCTTATCAGCCTAAGCGAACTATGGGGCAAAAGCAGCATGTCGAGAACTGTTTTGAACAACAACTCCCCAAATCGACTCGCTTGCAGTCCTTCCCTGAAAGAGGAACAACTGAGGAGACAGCATCTGGAAAAAACTATCCACACCCTGCAAACACAACTGCTGGAGTACGAACAGCGCATTTCAGTTGCCATCGAGGTGGATCTCTCAAAGGATGCAGCTCTAACTGCAGCAGAGCAAGCCGCTCAGGCGCTAAACTACGAGGTTCAGCAACTGCGGGATGCTCTCCACAGGTTGGAGCTGGACAAAAGCGATTCTCAAGGCAAGATTGAAGCCCTTCAGCAGGAGTTGTCGCAGGCGGTTAACTTGGCCACCAAGTTTCAGGAGAAGAATGACAAACTAGAGGGAGAACTAGACCATCACAGACAAGAAGCCAAGGAATGGGATGACAGGGTTGAGCAATTGGAAATGGAGCTCCACAGCAGCAAAAAAGCAGAGGAACTATCTCATGCCGAGCTTAACAAGCTGAGGGATAAGTTTGCCAAAGTAGACTACCAGCAGGAGAAGGTAAATTGCTTATAAGTACTTAAAATATCTATAAATTATCAAATCTTACCTACAACTTTTAGTTAAAAGCCCGCATTGAAGAACTGGAAAAAGATAAGAGCACACTTACCCACCAAAAGGAAATGCTGCAGGAATATCATCAAAAGCAGAAAGCTCGAGCGGATTCCTTGGAGGCTCAGAAAAAGTCTTTGCAGGAAACATTGGCTAATCTTACGGAAACTGAGGTAATCCTTGAAATTCATCAATCAAATTCATCTTCAATTTGATTAAATAACCAATTACTTTGTAGACCAACCTCAAGAAAAAGCTAGACGTACAGCAGAAATCCCTAAAGCAGTATTACCAGCAGCAAATGGAGAACGTGGTGGCCAAAAAGATGCAGGAGTTCCAAAACCAGCTTGACAAAAACGAGGAGCAACTGAAAAACGAAGCCCGTGAGCGCGAAAGACTAATTGCCGAGCGAGCCGTCAAACAGCTGGAGATGATCAACGAAAAGAATAACCAGGAATTGAATCTCATCCAGGAGAAGCACAATGAGGAGGTTGAGTTGTATCGCCTTCAGCTGGCAAATGCGTCCAAGAAGATCGACGAAATGGATCTCAAACTCAGCTGTTACAAAACGAAGCGGTAAGTGTGTATCTTAAATATTAATAATGTTTTCAAGAATGTTTTAATTTTCTGATTTCAGTGCCGACATTGCGGAGAAGCTGCATACTGTTATGGAAGCGCAGTGGCAACAGGCTCTAGCTATACTTACAACCCCCAGTCAGAACTCCCTGATGCAAGCCAGCGACACGGATGGGGAGTCCCCGGAGCTGAACAATGCCCGCGTGTATCCGGAAACTCCGAAGACGAGCAAATCGCAGCGCAGCAACAGCACGGAGAAGAACAACTTGGATGTTGTGGGCAAGCGGGATCCGCCCTCGCCCATGGACAGACTGCAGGCCTACATTGAGCTGCTGCTGAGCAAGTCACCCAGTGATTTTGATAAGCTTGACGAGATCCTGGCCATGTCGGCCAAGCAGGGAAGCAAGCAAAACAAACCAAAAAGCGGCAGTGGCAACAATAAGCCTCCACCCTGGAAGTGCTGACAAAAAAAGGAACTCTCGATGAGTATTGTATTTACTTTTAGTTTGATATGCAGTAATCCAGTCTAAGGAAACTCCTACGATGTACATTGTAGTTGTATATTTTTCTAATTAATATTAAAATTAAATCGTTTAGTTTTTGCAAAATATGTTTATTTGATAATATCAACAATTGAAGGCAGCGCAGGCATTTTTATGCGGCACGGGGAAAACAAATACGAAAGTAAATAATAATAAAAAGTTTTGGTACAAAAGGTATGTTTTACAGCTCTATGAGACCTAATCCTGGGAATCGTATAGTCTTCTGATATATCATTTTAGTGGTGGTCGCAAAGGAATACAATAATTTGATGTCTTTTAGAAGCAAACATTTCCGTTGACCAACCATAAATTTGTTCTTTGATTTCGCTGCTTTAAAATTATTTTATGTGTCTGTCATTGATATGCTTTGAGTTGAGTTATTGAGTATGTTGAGTTCTCGATCTGATCCCATTCCCATTAAACTTATTTGTAGACGATTTGCGGGAACTTTGGGGCGTTTCCGTAGAGGCCCTCGGACTCCCAAACTTGGATGTGAGACTCTCGCGTTAGCACCACCAAATGCTGATGGGTTGAATAGCTGATGCTGCAAAGGGAAACGGAATAAGACATTGTCTTGTTTACACTCTTCAGCCACCTTTACCTGCGAATGGGCGAGGTACCCGTAGTTAGTTCACTGACGAAGCTCAGATTCCAGCTGGACCAGAAGCGCACGAATCCCCCTTCCACTGCGGTGGCTATCACATTCACTCCCACTCCTTCCTTGATGTACGAGTAGCAAACGGCCAGGATGCGATCTTCGTGAACCAGATGCTGCACATACCGCGCGTTAACCGAGTGCAGGCGCAGAATAGACTTGCCGTTGGGATTAACATTGACATTCACAAAGTCGTCCAGGTTCTCCTCGGTCACTTCGAAGCATTCGTCGGCAATGTTGAGGGAATTGGGCCTGGTTGCAGCAGTCGGAGGTTTTGCTTCCGATGTGGCAGTTGAAGGTTGGGGCAGAGTGTGCACAGTGACAATGTCTCCCAGCGTTGGACTGATCGCCACATGCGTAATGGGAGATTGATGGATCTCCGCCGGACGAGCAATAGTTCGCACATAGCTCCAGCTGAAGAGAGGTAATTGGAATTAATTAATTAATTAATTGTAGAAAGTATTTGCACGTCAACTTACTCATTCAAATCCCAAATAACAGCTATGCCGTCGCGTCCCGCAGTCACTGCAATCTTAAATTCCACGGACAGGGAAATGCAGGTAATCTCATCGGTGTGCCGCACCAGCAACGTGGGTCCCAGCCAACTGAGATCGGCTCCATCGCGCTGGAATCCATCGAGGCCGGAGGAATTACTAGCCGAGTTAACTGAAGAGGCAGAATGGGTTGTGTGGAGATTCCCCGCCTCATCAACCCTCTCCGATCCGCCGCCCATTCCTTTGCTCGTCATTTTCCGGAAGGCAGAGTTGTAGGACAAACTAAAACCACGGGCATAACTCTGCCTGCTCTTTGCTGAGGCTCGCTGCTGGGAATCCAATCCCCCGGTACACTTGTACACACTCACTCGTCCGGATTTGTGGCCAAACCAAAGCTGATTGGAGTTCACGTCGCATCCGCAGGCGGTGATGTCGTCGAAGGTTCCGTTGTGCAGCAGGTTCTTTGGCTTGGCCTGGGGCTTGTTGAGTGGCTGAATCCTCACGATCCGATCGTCGTAGCCCCATGAGATCACGTTGTACGTATCCGGCTCAGCTCCCTGCATTACACTCGCTTTTCCAGGAAGAGCATACACCACATTGGTGTTGCTGAAGCTCACCAGATGCTCGGTGCCGGGTATCTTGTGGATGTTTGCCCAGGAGGGAGGTTTCAGCTGCGGCGATCCCACATAGACGCCCCAGCGCAGACCACGAACAGTGGACACTATTGGCTTGTCCACCAGAGAGTAGTCCAGCGCCTTGGTCGCCGGATGTGGTGACTTGAAAAGCTGCCTGGGCATCTGGCCATAGGTTTTCACCATTGTCTTGACGGCTTCTCTTTCGATGGGATCGCTGATTTCTGACTCCAGGAATACGGCATAGGTCTATGGATAAGAAAATATCTCGATAAACATACATATATGGAATATAATATTAGAATATAACCACTCACCGCTGGATGAAATACGTTGATGGCCTCGACAGCGCTCTCTCCGCTTTGTTTGTATCCATAGATGAGGTCTATCCAATTGTGGATCTGATTCCTAACCATTTCCGATTCCAAAGCCTGTCGGTGGATCAAAACAAAGAGCCGGGAGTCCCGCTGACACCAAGGCGGCAGTGAGACATCCTCTACGCGTTCCCCATTCTGTCGGCAGCCGAACTTAAAGCGCTCAAAGTTCTCGAACATCTCTGGCAGGCAGAAGAACTCCGGAATGAGCTCCTTTACATCCGTGGGACTATCCTGGCTGGCCAACAGCCAAGTGGTGTTTAAAGCGTGGAACGTGCGATCCGGTAGGTCGAAGTCGTTGTCCTGGTAGCGAAGAAAATAGCTTGTGAACGGTGGAACCCTCACCAGGAAGTGAAGCACTGTCCCTGAGTTCGAGTAATGGGAGCTGTAGTGATAGGGCTTGAGGATCAGGGATCCCATGGTGGTGTTGGTACTGTCGATGTACTGCAAAGATCAAGAGATTTAAAATACTGAACACTAGATTAATGGTACATGGGATCCACCGTATAGTTGCTGATGTAGTGCTTCTCGTTCTCCTCCAGCTGCACGGCAATGGGGCGTCCGAGTCGCCTGAAGTTGTGTCCCTCCCGCAGATCCAAAATCTCCGAGCTGTAGTTGGCCAGCACCCAGGGAAACACCGGGTACTGCATGAGATCGTTGTAGGTCCGTCCGGCGATTTGGTTCAGGGTCATCAGGTACTCCCAGTTGGTGAGCAGACCCTCGCGCCACTGCTGGGTGATGGCCAGCACCTTGGCCTGATCGGGCGTGGCCACAATCTTATCACAGAATACCTCGCGCATGATCTTCCAGTCGTCGGCGTTCTGCAGCGAGAAGAACAGCGACTTGTTCGTGTCCAGGAGAATCTCGAAGGCCGTCTCCTGATGCTGGTAGCGCTTCAGCCAGATCTCCGTTATGTTGGCGATATCACAGTTCACGTTGAAGTACCGACAGCGGTACGTGGCCAGGAAGTAGAGCTTCAGATCGGTGATAATGATCTCGCCCTCGATCTCCCCGTCCACGGGCAGGAATTTGGCCGCAAAGTTGTACAGGATTTGCGAGTTGAGCGATATGTTAAGCTGCTGATCGTAGCTGGATATCAGGTAATCCAACGGACGAACATATGGCTCCAGATCCTCGCGTTGTCCCTGTCCCGGTCTGTATTCGTTCATAAAGAAGCGGCGATCGATGTCCAGGTGGCAGCGACGCAAGCGAGTGTGAACTCGGGACGGTCCTTCCGTGTCATCCAGCTCCCAGGAGCTGTAAAGTGGGTTTGAGTTAGATCTTCGGAGCAGAGATACTTTTATTGTTGATTTACCATTCCGCTCTTTCTGCGGAGTGCCAGGGAGCGCCCTCGTGCGTCATGCGGCGAATGATCTCCAGCCACTTGGTGTAGGTGTAGGTATCATCGTAGACCTTCATGTGGCACATCAAAGCCTTGCGCTCTGAATTCTGAGAAGCAATAAAGGAATTATAAAATGGAAAAGAAAGTAAGCTAGAAATAAAACCAACCTGCAGTTCAGCCACCTTTCTCGTGGTCACCATGGACGACTCTATGCAGTGCTGAACGAGTGGCTCAAATCTGTAGACAGTTTTCTCTAGCAGAGTCTTCTGTTTGGCCGCCATATTATTGCGGTTCTGGTCCAGGCGATCCAACTCATGGACCAAGTTCCACGAGGAATCATTCTCCTTGATGCCCAAGGCATCGCAGAGTCTTTGGAGATTTTCTATGGGCTCGGCCATGTCCTCGAGCAGCGAAAGCCACAACAAGGCCTTGATCATCTTGCCATCACAGATAATAGCCCGCTGGAACTCGTTCTGCTGGGATCGCCAAAGGGCATCCACAATGTAGGAGCGTAGATCCCGTGGACGCGAAGGTTGCAGACCCCAAGCAATGAAGTTGTTGCAGCGTTGATTGCTGGAGATTCCATACGAAACGAGCAGCTGGAACAGAGCTAGCTCCTGCGAACTGGCCACATAGTTGCTGCCGGTGGTCTGGCCCACGCCGACAGTGAAGAACTGGGTGCACCGATCGATGAGCAACTCCACTCGGGTGCGTAGTTCAGTTTGATTCAGAGCGGAATCGTTGGTCATGGCTATTCGGAAGCTATTGGGCTCAAAGAACTTGGTGAGCCACTCCAACTGAAGTTGAGCCTGGGCTGTGCGGAAACTGCGCATAATTAGCTGGGGTTGCTTATCCTGGTAGAAGGAAAGCAGGTTGAGGATGTCCCACACCAGCTGTAGAAAAACAAGCAGCTTAGTAAACCATTATTTGTGTTGGCTTTGTAAATACCAACATTTATCTGCCCAACGGAGCGCAAGGCCCGCTCTCCAATATTCGAAAGCAGTTCCAAAATGGATTCATCTGCATTGGGTTGACCCAGGCATAAGGAGTAAATCCTGTAGAGCGCTTTCACCGAACACTGCAGCAGTCCTGCTTCAATCAAACTTGTTTGATCGTCGGGATTCTGAAAAGAGATAACACAAATTTTAATTTTAAAGAATGTAAACTGTATTTTACTTTGCAAAAAATGTTTCACCTGAAGATAGAGACGCAGAAGTCCCTTAAACACCCTTTGAGGATCTGCTCCCTGGGCAATCGCTAGTAAGGATTGCAAGCCAAAGCGCTGACGAATCCTTAGAGGTGCCTCGCAGTTGAGTACATCCGAAAGAGTGCCAGGCATTCCACTAACCCAAGCCAGACACGCCTCGAACATTCCCAAATCACAACCGTGGATGGTCAACTGATTGGCCAAGTGGAGGGGATATATCAACTTAGTGGCGGCATTTAATTCTCCGCTGGGCAAACGCTTTGTCAGCACATCCAGTAGCTGGATGACCGCCTGGCGAACAGCGCAGCTGCGTTGATTTGCCAGCACTAGGAGCAATTCCAGTTTCACATAATGTCTGGTGACCACATCCACCGAGGAATCCGGCAGCAGGCAGAGGAAGTCCTTCAGAAGGATGAGCAGGCGCTGCTGCAGTCGGATAATGCCCTGCTGGTCGTAGAAATCGGTCTTTCTATTCGGCAGCGATGACTGACCCGAACTGGGTGTGCTGTGACCCGATGGCTGCCACATCTTGCCGAGATGCAGGTGCGGATGGATACGCCGTCGGGCGATTTTCAGTGGGCTCCTCTTTGGACTACCGGCACTCGTGGGATGGCGACGCTTGAACTTTAAACGCCAGCGGGTGGCTTCCACGGGACTCAGCAATCGCAAGGCGGTCTTGTTGAGATTCGAGCAGTCGGCCATCTGCTCCAGTTGCTCCTCGAACTCGTTGACGGCTTTCCGATAACCGGAGGCACTGGCATGCAGGCGTCGCAACTTCTTGATTCTCTCCGCTCGCTCGGGATCCAATTCCTGCGGCTGGGGATGCAATTGCCGGCGCAGAGAAGTGGTCACTCTGCTTAAGTTGGCGGCCACCAGGGATCGTTCCTTGGCCGGTTGCTGCGCAGTCAGCAGGAAGTAGAAGTGCATGCGATCGTGGGTCACATAGCAGTCACTGGGCTTGTGGAGGAGCAGAAGCAGCTTCATGATCTCATCCAGCATAGAGGAGTCCGGAGGCGAGCCAGCGAACACTGCCAGAATCTGGACAAAGCACTCGGCGGCATAGGGCGAAATCTGAACCGGACTGGGCGACTCGATCACATAGACCTTGCAGAGATTGAGGAGCGCTCCCAGCAAGCCGGATTTCTGGAGTTGCTCCATATTGAAGTCCCTCTGCGGATGCTTGTCCCTTGTGAGAGCCAAAATGCAGCGGAAGAGCATGTCCAGAACGTCGGAGTGGGTGGCTCCCGAGCGATGCCAGTCGGAGTAGCGCTGCAGTACGGCGAGCAGCAGGCGTGGATAGACCAGAGTGGCCATCGTGTTGTCGTTCACATTCAGGGAATCCCCTTTCCTGCTGATCAGCACCTGGGAGCAGGCGTTGTTCACAATGCTGCGCAGTAGCTGCACATCCTTGCAGCACTTCTCCGACTTGATTACGTAGCCGATTAAGGCCAGGTAATCCTGACGCTGGAACTCTGTGTACAGCTGGGTATCGGAGTGGGCCACCTGGAGCAGTAGATCCAAAGCCAGGGCTTGCGTATTCGCATTGCCAGTCAGCTCCACAACCTATAAAAAAAAGGATTTATAATCCGTTATTACAACGATGTAATTGAGTTCAACTTACCCTGGCAAAAAGATAGAGAAGCGTGGACAGACCTCCGCTGAGGGACGTGGCTGACTGGAGGGTCTGTGGCTGGTGCTGCTGCAGCTCCCCATAGAGCATGTGTCCGTGTGGCTGTCCATAGCAGGCCATATCCAGTTCCTGGCTCGCATCGTAGCTCATCACAAGATCCGGTTGCTGGGCGGTGTAAACCAGAACCCTCGCCTGTCTTAAAATCCGCATGCAGTCCAGATGGTTGCCGAAATTCGAGGATGCCAGCTTGCCCAGACTCACGAAACCGTAGTTGGGCTTCCAGTTGGCCACTTGGCACTGGGTGTACTCGGTGAAATCGGGTCCCATGGCCGTGAGATTCATCATGAGCAGGGGATCGAACAATCGTCGCCTGAAGAGGATCACATTCGAAAGAGCATAACGGGGAGTGGAACCATCCAGAGTGGATCGCGAGGAGGAGCTGCTACCGGGACTCCTTGTCGGTTGTCCTTCGCCCAAGGCGAGCAGCTGGAAACTGTGCACCCTGGTGAGCTGGCGGAGATTGTGGAACGGCAATCGCATGGTGTGCTGTTCCAGGCCATCCAGAAATATGCTGATCTGCACGGCGTCTCCCTGCTGCTGCAAACCGAACACCAAGTGCATCCACTTGTGGCGCGGCAATCTCAAGTGCTGCAGCTGCACGGCGGAGCCCTCGAAGTAACCGCCAGAGGAGTCCGGCGAGGATTGGTGCCCATTGAGCAGGTGCATCTGTCCGAAACTGTTGAGCAGCGCCAACTTTGTCTGTTTGAGAGCCTGCCGAATGGTGCCCCCATTGGCTGCCTGGGTGTTGGCCGAGATCACGGATGCCGTGTCCGCGTTGGCCTCCAGATGCTCCTCCATTCGAACTGGAGCCAGTTGTTCATTCGGCTTGACCAACTCGAAGATTAGCTGCATGTTGTGGCTGATGTAAATGCTGATCATGGCTTGGTTGGTTCCCAGAGAAAGCAGGTGAAGTTTCTAAAAGGAATCGAGGGTGAATAACGGAGTAGTTAAAGATTATAAGTAAATTTACTGTCAAATCCTCTCCAGAATAGCGCGTCTCGTCATCGTTGAACTGCATGGAGCTGCGATGCATCTGCTGACCCCTCAACTCCAGCCAGAGCGACAAGGTCAAGCCATCTGGCTGCCAGAGGCGAGTCTGGGTAACAGGAAAAATGCAGGCAGCTCGGGTGAACAAAGTACTGGACTGACATTGCTGGTGGTGCAGTCGAATCCTCTCGATCTGCTCGCTGATCAGTGGCTCCGATGTAATCACTATCTTGCCATCAGTTGTGATCGGGAAATCCAGTTCCATGCAGGGTTGCGCCTTGCGGAGCGAACCCGAGGAGATGTGGTGCATGTGACGCATCAAGAGATCCACGGGAGGTTGCCTGGAGGCCAGGATAGAGTAGAAACATTGCAGCACCTCCGGGGTGTTGAGATGGGTAACCAATTCCAGAATAGATTGCTGCAGTTCTGGAAAGAAATAAACTTAAGTTTTCAAGTTACTTATGATTTTTTCATCCTGATTTACCTCTCAATCTGGGATCGCTGCAGCTGAGAATCGGAGCGAACCCCTTGAGCAGGCAAAGGGGTCCTCCAAGATAGTCCCTGATGACAAACAATCGATTGGCCAGCTGGGTTAGGCTCTCTGTCCAGCCATTCGGCTGCTTGATGCAGAGAAGCGACAGTTCGGCCAGCATTTGCACCACCAGCTGGCTGAGGCCCTGGTGCATTATGTGGGTTCTGTACCGGGAGGATGGCTGGAACGGGGTCCACGACTCGTTGGCCGCCATTCCTCCGCCATTGAGTTCACACTCGGATTCGCTGAGGTCCGCGATTTCGCCATCCGCCTCGTAGCCCTCGTCGGCGGTGAGGTAGAACTCGTGCTCGTTTTCGCTCAGTTCCAGTTCGCTGTCGGCGGCGCAACTCAAGGAGGCTCGCGTGGAGAAGTAGTCCGCATCCACACCCACGCCCACACCCACGTTGACCTCGCTGGAATTGGGTTTCCTTCGGGGCGTCGGCGGGGTGGCCAGTGAGTTCTTGGCCGGCAGCTTAACCGGCTGCAGTCTGGGCAGCTCCACGCTGCCGCTGTTGAAAGATCTGGCACGTGGTCTCGGCTGCTGCGAATCCCCCGACGGACTGCTGACCACGCCCGCCGGCTCCTGATGGGTGCTCGACAGCTCGGCGATCTTCAGCAGGGTCTGCAGGGTCTGGATCACCGCATTGTCCCGGGCGTGCTGGTCCCCGTGGTCCGTCCAATTGTCCGTGGCATGGCTCAGAATAATCGCTCGCAGCTTGCGCAGGTGCTTCTGCATCTTCTCCACTGTGAAGAAAGGTAGATAACGCGTGGATTAGTAGGAGATATGATCACTGACTGACTGATAACACGCGTCTATCTTCCGCCAACTGGAGCAAGTCGTCAGCGCTGGACGAGCGCCAAAGCAAAAGTGTCGTCTCTTGTCTGGAATGTATCTCGTTTCTCGTTTCGGTGGTTGTCTATCTATCTGTGTTTGCTGTAACGATGTTGTAACGATGTGTACCCAGAAATTCAATCCCGGCAGAGCCGCCAGAGCCTTGTAAATGCCGCGTATTATACTCCGAACCGACTGGACTGACTAACTGTCTGCCTAGCTGGCTTATAATTAACTCTCCTAGTCCGCTGGCCACAATCACAACCACAACCACAACGACCCGTTATTAGCCAGAGTCGAGAGTCGAGAATCTAGAATCTAGAGCTGGCCGGCTGGCTGGATTGGAGGTGAATGCGGGCGCCTTGTTCTTGTCCCACTTCTAGGGCTTCCCCCGAGTGTTTGCCTGCTGCGTATTTGTATATTGTGCATTGTGCATTGCCTATTGGCAACGCATTAGCCGCGGAATGCCGTGGAACACCCCACTGGATGGGCGACAAGTAATTCTCTTTCATTTGTAATACCCTTCTGGTTATCATGAAATATGTTTAGTAAATATATTCAATCTAAAGAAGTACAATTGTAATTAAATACCCATTCTTAATATTTGTACATAACAATTAATTAAATATTTACTCCCATTGCCTAATATTTTAAAAATGGTTAACTACTTTCTTTTACTTATCAGTCAACCTTTTTAATATACCCTCCTCTTCCACTTTCCCAACAGGTATTCAACCGAACAATCTCTGACACTTACCTTCTTCGTTTTGAAAACCCTTGATGCAGATTGCCATGGTCGCCTCGAAGAGTTTGAGCAAGAGCTTCTTGCATTCCCCGTTGGGCTCGTACAGGCAGAACAAATCCGCATCAATATTAGCACTCGTAGGAGAGTTTCCGCTTTCAGCGCTCCCTGGACTTCCGCCAAAGAGGGAACCCACAATGCTGAACAGCTTGTTGATTATTCCATTGGCAGCCGCCACTTCCTCTTCGTTCGGCAGAACCAGGGAGTTGGCAGGACAATCCGCGCCTGGCTGACTGCCACGGATGTCGAAGAGCACTATGCTCTCATCCGGCTCGCAGGCGAGCAGTTGCTTCAGGAACGAAGGAGCGGCCATGTCCCGCGAGTAGTTCTCGTAGTTATCAATCACTGATGCGTAGTCCAAGGTGGAGTCCGCGTAGTCCGAACTGGCAGCCGTTGTGACCGAGACTGAGGTGGAGCCACCGAGTGGAAGCTGGGAGACCAGGGTTTCCAATGAACTTGAGCCGCAGATGCCAGAGGTGGGCGTGGCTGCGGTGGGCGATGCGGTTGCCCCCATTGTGGCTTTCGGCAGCATGAGGAAACAGCTAAGAGCATTGTAGTTCAGCTTCAAGATGTCTACGATATTTTTGTCACCATGCCGCAGTTTCTTCTCCTCTGGAGGCTGCTCTCCCGTCGGCGTCTCCACTTCCTCGTCCTCGTTGTCCAGCATTTCCACGGGTATCGAGTAGATTTTGGCGAATTCGTTGTAGAACAACTGACTTGTCTTGAGCAACTCATAGTTTAGGGTCCATTGCAGTGCCGTGATGTAGAGGATATCTGCTGGCTTGTGTCCTTCAAGCTTGGCAGGATTGGGTCCCTCGTCCAGCCAGAACTTACTGCCGGCGTTCTTGGAACACTTGTGCAGCAGGGCCTGAAAGAGCTGGGATGCCCTGTCGCTGCTGTTCAGCTGCAGTTGGATGAGTCTCCTGCTCAAGGTGCTCTGCTCCTGGCTGTTTTCGCCCAGGAAGGCTATGTTGTCGATTCCGACCTTGATGAGATCACACACTCCTCGCTGAAGTTCGGGTATGGCCAGTAAATCCTGCATGTAGCGAATGTTCTCCTCGTTGTAGAAGGCTTTTACCAACCGAATGTCACTTAAGTACATTACAAATATGCTTAGGCATTCGTGCAGAGCTCTGTAGTTCTCCAGTTTGCTCGGCGTTTGAAGTGGGGCTAGTTTGCTGTTCCTCCTTTCGGTTTCCCCATTCTGAATGAGCTCCTTGTAGTGCCTGAAAATGGGTAGAGCCACCTCTGCCAGGATACCAGAGGCCAAATCGTAGGATAGCAAGTAGGCGATATGTTTCAAGTGCTTCAGGAACAGCAAAATGGCGGGCGTGTTCAGCAGGGCTTTGTAGTTCTCCTTGTAGATGTTTCTCAGGTTCATGTGAAAAACTGGCGACTTCAGTTTATCCTCGCATCCTGGACAACCCTGGGGATTCCGCTTCACAAAGATCGTGTGGAGAACGTTGTAGTGTAGAAACTTATAGGCACACTTTTGGTAGCTGCTGCTTAGTTGAGTGGCCAGTTTCAGGCAGGTGGCGTAATTCCTGGCATTGTAGTGGCAGCAACAGCTCCCCGTTCGCAGAAGACTCCGCACACTGTGCTCCTGGAGCTCTGCCTCCAGGCTGGGCAGCAGGTGATACAGTTTTCCCTGAAAATAGCAGCTGAGAGAGTTGGCTCCCAGGCAATGAAGTTGGCTGCTCCTCTGTCTTTTGTGCCGCGGATGTTGCTGCTGTTTTGGCAGAGCCGTTGAAGCGCTGCTCTCCATTAGGCTCTGAAGATGCTGCTCCTGCCGCGAAAGGTTGTCCGTCAGGCGCAGCAACATCTTGTATATATGCAGGAAAATGGGAGTAGCGTAGTTGGTAGATTTGGCTGCCTCTTGCAGAACCTCAAAGCAGGCATCAAAGTTCTTCACGTCGATCTGGTTCAGCTCCTTCACTCCATTATCCACCAGATTGTGAAGAGTTCCAAACATGATGAACAGTACTCCATGGGCCAGAAGAGGACTCCTCCGATTGGCAGTCAGGGCATACAGAAGTTGCCCGAAATTGCTGTTGAAATCGTGGACATTTGGTTGCTGCTGCTCCAGGATGTAAAAGTTGTTCACACAGTGCGCTATTAACTGCAGGAGTTCAAACTTGATGATCTCGTCGTTGTCGTCTGGTGATTCCTGCTCCAAACTGGAGCACAAGTGTCCCAGTGCAAAGTTGTGAACTGTGACGCTCAACTGGGATTCCTGTTCGGCATCCACGCAGCGGGTGAGTAGTTGGATGAGCAAGAGAGCGAGGTCATCGCTGCTTTTCGTTGTCCCCTTAAAGTCCTCGAAGGTCGAGGCGATTGCATTGGTTAGGTGATTGGGTAATTGACTCCTTTGCGGCTGCTGGCGTCGCAGCTTTTTGCTTTGCGAATTGAGGTAGAAGCTGCCGATAAACTGGGGAATGCTGGTCATGGGGAGCAGCGGCTCGTTGGACGGGCTCCACTTGCAGTTGGGGAACAGGTTGATGCACAGCTGGCACAGGCTCTTCTGGGAAGCAATGTGCTGCAGGCAGAGGAAGGTAATTGATTGAATTTAAATAAATAAGGTGAACTGGGTGAATCGATTGAAGAAGTATGTGAATACATATTATAGTTTCTACATTAGTAGTAGAAAAGTGTTGATAAGGACAGATTGATTAGTTGATATCAATTTGAGGAACAATCTTAGAGCATTTGAATTTTAAATTTGTTTGGAAGACTGTATCAATATTTTACAATCTCAACCGAACCACCCTAATATATTTAAGTGCAACTCTTTCCACTTGCCTTGATATCCACGCGAAGCAGAAAGGCCAATAAGTGATGGCCCAACTTATCGGTGAGAAATGTCCGCAGGGCGAGAATCTTATTGCAATCACTGGGAGTGCTGAGTATGAGCTGGAAGTGAAACACATTTAGTAGATTGCACAGGAAAGGGGGTGATGGTTCAATAGAGACCTGGGCTAGATTATGCTGCTTGCGCAGCTGCTTAATGCACTTGTCCTGCTGCTCCGGTTCCTGCTCCGGGCTGCTTCCCTGAGATCGCTTCGCCTCGCTGATGATTTGATAGACCTGCTCCAACAAATAGGAACACAGCTCCTCGGGCATCAGATTAAAGTGGCTGTATGTAAGTTTTATATATTCACATTTGTGTGCCTAGCTATACTCAGATAGTGTTTACCTATTGAGCCAGGCCTCTTCCAGGGTCTTATCGTCCAGAAACTGGAAATTATAGAGCAGCAGCCAGAGCCAGTGCTCCTGTGAGGGGGAAAATAAGAAAGCAAAAACAACGATAAGACCTGGGAATATCAATAGGCGAAGGTTCTCCTTCACAAACCTTGACACTCGCATCTTCGAGCTCCGAGGCCTGCAGATACTGGCTCCACAGTCCAATCAGGGTATCCAGCAGCAGCAGCTGCTCCTCCTTCACCTCCATCGCGACCGTGGAGAATCACAGATAGTCTCGCCTCCCAACAGGCAACGTCGAAGAGTCTGCTTCGGCTGGCCAGCGACTCCTCGGGCATCGGGCAACGTTGTGGACGCTTGGAGCGATGGGACCAAACTGAACGCGGCGATCGAAGGAGAGCGCCAGCTGTAATTACAAAGCAAAGTCGGTAAATACACAGTCGTACTTCGATAATTGAAAATATAATCTTATAAGCGGGGATTATTACTGGGTAAGCACCTTTGTATGCTGTATGTTACTCCGATTAGTTTAATCTGTTAAAAATTGGGATAGGAATAGAATAGAGTAACTTAATCAATCAATAAAATATATTAAAAAAAAAACAAAAAGAGATCGAATTCATTATAATTTTATTGTTTTTGTTTATAGTCAGATAAGATTATTAAAACTGTCATATAAAGTGCAAATAGGTGAGCGAAATTGTAGCCCTTAAAAGCTTTAGATATCCAAATAATGAGTCATTACAGAATGTCTTGAGTTATAGAGACGAACATACAGAAACAAAACTAAGCTCTAAGGTATATTTCCATCTTTTTATTTATATTATGTGATTTTGTATTATTCGGCGGGTGAAATTTCGCTTTATAGAGGCTGCACTGTAACTCTTTTGTGCGTGAGATTACACGGAGTGATCAGAAGACGAGGAGGTGAAGTGAATCGAGAAGTTGAGGCCGCGATGATTACTTATTTGCCCAGAGGCAGTCGGCCGGTGATGTTGATAATTCGGTGCAGAGTGGAGTGGAAACTTTGGTTGTTGTTGCGGGAAAACTATTAAGATTGAAGATTGCTATTTATAGCGAATCGGTGGCATTGCATCTGGATGGGTGGCTTTCGGTGGGTTGCCAAGCCGGTAAACTGGGATAGATAGAGCGCGGGGATGGGTTCGGTGGGTTCGCTGCTTAGAGTTGTTCCGCGGTGCTCCATATGAGTAAACAGCTGGCGATGGAGCGTGTCTGTAACGGCCAGTGCATCTGCGATAAGCTTTAAAAACTATGGAAATCGGAGGAGGAGACCATCTTCTTTTTCATCTTATCAGCGCATATAGAATATTAAGCATTTGAACCCCAACAACTCCTATTTAACAACTGCGCAGCACCGAATTATTCATCACTAGACCGCATCTAGTATATGAAATTTTACAATATATAAATTATGGCAAATACACGCCAAAACTCACCAAGAAAAACCTAATATTCACGGAGGAACAGCAAGAACAATTTACTTCAATACGCCATTTTTACGGCTCGTTAGGTTTTGCTGCTGGTTTTAACAAATTTTAGCAACTTTGATTTTGTTGATTCCACTCTTTTACTTGTATATGAGATTATGCTTGTGTGTGTAAACGCGTCCGACGTTTTCTATTGTTTGCTGCGAAATAAACAATTGCAAAGCACAAGTGTTGTTGTTTTTGCACAGTTTGTTTTGGTTTCTGTGAAGTGTGGCCAGGCGGCATAATCAGCAACAAGCCGAAACTTAAATTCCGATAGCAAACCGATTCCATTTCTTCTGTGGTGAGAAATTTAATTTGAAAATAATTTGAAAAATATTCAATATTTCTTATGTTTATAATTAAAATTAACACAATTACAACGATGGGAAAATTTTAAGACCAAAAAGATTAACCTTTTGAAACATATGATTACATCAACTGAATTTAAAATCTGTATATCGAACTGGTTGAAAAGAACTAGTTCGCTGATACCTGTTGCGCCTTCAGCTGTTTTTCATTCCGATTTCTGTTGATTTCGCGACCAGTTTGCTTTAGTTTTAATCCGTTGTTTTTAATTTTAAATAAACTTAAGTTCAGAATGCTTCGTCGATTGGTGGGAAATAGCAATTTGGGTCCCCGATATTCAGCCTCTTTAAAGGTAAAACTATTATACCAACATATTTTGGATGTACTGGAGAAGATCTTCTAGAAATAGATAAACTGTCTGAGGATAAATTCATTTATCTTTATTATCTCTTAGAAGAGTAAATACTTAATCCATCATGTGATCAAAAAAAGGTGACAAACCTGTTTATCAAGAAAAACAAAACAACAGGTGTCAATTGAAATAGTTCCAGAAATAGAGCAATTTTCTGTGTTTGGAATCAATATTGCATATGTATTTGTTGTTTTGGTTTAAAGTTTTGTTGCCAATTGAGATAAGCACTATTTTGTTGGATCCACGCGAGCAATTCACTTGTTGATCACCTCACTGATTAGAATTACCCCCCTGGAATAGTCCAATCGAATTAAAAATAGGCGAACTTACGTAACGATTTGGCACAAACAAGCCACACGCACGCTCACTTATACAGAGAGCTCCATCATATCATGAGCAAACCACTTTTTATGCTAATGGAGCACTACGATTTGGTGTTTTCAGGCCATAGCGTGCTACTCAACGTCGGGAAAACAGCGAAATGGCAAGATCTACGAGTCGGCCATCGACGCCGTATCCGATGTCCAGGATGGCGCCAAGATCCTTTTCGGAGGATTCGGAATCTGCGGTATTCCGGAGAAGATGATTAACGCCCTCAAGCAGAAGGGAGTCAAGAACATCACTGGTGTTTCCAATAACGGAGGTAAGACTTCAAAATGATCTACCAAATTGTAAAGAATGTTCAAACTTAATATTTTATTTTATCACCTTTCCAGGTGTGGATGACACCGGACTTGGCGTTTTGATCAAGCAGAAGCAGGTGGCCAAGGTGATTGGCTCGTATGTGGGTGAGAACACCGAGCTAGTTCGTCAATATCTAGAAGGAGAACTGGCCGTGGAACTCACTCCCCAGGGAACCTTGGCGGAGAAGATCCGAGCTGGAGGAGCCGGCATTCCCGCCTTCTACACGCCCACTGGCTATGCCACCCTCGTCCAGGAAGGCGGTGCACCCATTAAATACTCCAAGGATGGCAAAGTGGAGATTGCCAGCGAGAAGAAACCAGTGAAGGAATTCAATGGAAGGAACTATGTGATGGAGGAGTCGATATTTGCGGACTTCGCTTTTGTCAAGGCCCAAAAGGCAGATCCCTTGGGCAACCTGGTGTTCAACAAGGCGGCGAGAAACTTCAATGCACCCATGTGCAGGGCAGCCAAGATCACCGTGGCCGAAGTGGAGGAGATAGTGCCCATTGGAGCGCTCTCCCCCGATGAGATCCACATTCCCGGAATCTATGTCAACCGCATCTTCAAGGGCACCAATTACAACAAGCGAGTGGAGCGCTTGAGGATCACGGAACCCAAGGATCCCAGCAAACCCGTCCCGCCACCCAATCCTGCCCAGGCGTTGCGGGAACGAATTGCCCGACGAGTGGCTCTGGAGTTCCGCGACGGCATGTACGCCAATCTGGGCATCGGCATTCCCGTCCTCTCCTCCAACTACATCCCGAAAGGCATGAGCGTGATGCTGCAGTCGGAGAATGGCATCCTGGGTCTGGGTCCCTTCCCCACCAAGGATCAGGTGGATCCGGACTTGATCAATGCCGGAAAGGAGAGTGTCACTGTGGTGCCTGGCGCCTCATACTTCGGCTCTGACGACAGCTTCGCCATGATCCGAGGTGGTCACGTGGACATGACCATTCTGGGCGCCATGGAGGTGTCGGCCACTGGAGATCTGGCCAACTGGATGATTCCTGTGAGTATAGTCCATTAATCCATTAACAAAATGTAACTCACTTGAATATGTCTTTATTTAAAGGGCAAACTGGTTAAGGGCATGGGTGGTGCCATGGATCTGGTGGCTGCTCCGGGTAGCAAGGTTATCATCACCATGGAGCACAATGCCCGCGATGGCTCTCCCAAGATCCTGGAGACCTGCTCCCTGCCCCTCACCGGCAAGGGTGTCATCGATCTGATCATCTCCGAGAAGGCTGTTTTCGAGGTGGAAAAGGGAGTGGGCTTGACTCTGATCGAAGTGACCGAGGGTTACACCGTGGACGACATCATCGCCAGCACTGGCGCCAAGTTCACCGTGTCCCCCAATGTCAAGCAGATGGGCCAGATTCCAGTCTGATGAACCGCATGCCGATGGCCCGGAAACGTGCTGCAATACCTCCACTTGAGTGATAAACGAGTGCATTTATTTTTTGTTGATCGTGTGACAAGAACATTTCTGTTGTTAAAATATATAGACCGTATCGAATCCCTCCCGGCTTAGCCAATCGCCTTGGCCATGTTCTTAAGGGTCGCCGAGCGATGTGAGTTGCGCATCTGTTTGTTGAGGATGTCGAAGATGCGGTTGTATTTGCTGTCGCATTCCGTGCGGCAAGTGGCGCAGAACTGCGAGGAGAGCACGTGGAGCGGACTCCGGAAATACAGGCCCTTCTGCATCGTGAGGCTGTTCTTGTGGTGCGAAAACATATGCAGGAAGATCTCGATTAGGGCCAAGGCAGCCCCGATGAAGAAGTTGTAGCAGAAGAGCGTGGGCACCAGGAACAGCAGGTACTGGTGTCGATTGTACCCCAGAATGATGTTCTGTGAACAAAGGAGGATTTTAGATGGAATTATTGATTGAATTAATGTATCTTAAAGTGGTTCTTCTATAACTTTTAACTTTCTTGCTCTACTAGCTTTACTAATTCAACTTACGCTGCTTACGCCATCCATTTGGCAGAAGTCCTCGCTTTCGTATCCTGGAGTTGCCTTCCTGGGAGCCTTTTTGGGAATCACGGCGGCCGCTCCGTGTCTCACAGTGTTGGCCAGCTCGTCGTCAATCTCATCGCAGATGGTTCCACGCAGGAAGTGCTTGGGTACGTGGAAGTTGGTGTGTTTCCGAAAGCGCATCTTCGTGACCTGGTCGTGGATCGGCTCGCCGGTTTCCTCATCGTAGGTGGGTCTCTTTACGCGCACGGTATCTGTGTAGAAGTACTCCAGCTCACCAGTTTCGCAGTTCTGGAGGAGATTAGATGGGAACAGATAACACATTGATAAGAGAATGTGTAAGAGAACGAAAGAGAGCCAAGCGACACTCTGCGGTGGCGTGATCGCTAGTTTGGTGCTAATTTATGGGCCCTAGCATGGTAAAAATTAGCAAGTCATATTCTTGGAGCCACACAGACGAAAGTTTATTAATTTTTTGGAAACAATAAATGGCTTTCAAATGGCGAACACCTTTGAAAAAAGTAGGAGCCCTAGCCATTTATTTATTTAAGAGAGGAAAAAATATGTTCATATGTTACTACTGAGTAACTGTTTATTGTTGACGTTAAAATATTTAAGAGTGTTTCTCCACTGCTTTTCTCTTATGTACTCTTTCCCCTTCAGTGTATTGTTTATGAAATGTTATCGGCGGCCGTCGAACGTGCAAAAAAACAAAGCGCCAGTGGAAATGTTTTGGTATATCCCGAAAATAGAATCACGTACAGCTTTTCTGATAAGATCGGGAGATCGGACACCGGGGCGTATGAGCAATGAATCACCTGCAAACAGTAAGATTAACTGCTCTATGCACCCGACTTCTTACCACCAGCATGGTTTCTTCGGTACTAACTTCGGTACTAGACCCTCTAAGCCATCTAAAAACGAAAGCGAACGAAACCGCAGAGTCAAGTGTTACTTATCAGTTTCGGTTGGAAGTCGGTCTGATCGACAGACGCCGCTTATAATTTCCATATGGCCGGTGGAGGGGAATCTAGGGGTTACTTATCTCCGACAGCCGCTACGGCTATTAACGTACAATTAAGGCTTATGGACAGCAGAAAATTGTAAATTGCACATGCAATTACAGACTTTTTTCACTCAATTTTCAGACTTTTGTTTTTGCAGCTCCATGGGATTATTAATTTCTGAGTTGCATAAGCCCTGACCGGTTTGCGTGTCAAATGTGATTTGATCAGAATAAATATAATTCAAACTGATGTGACTAAAATAATGATCTTCCAGTTGTCGATCGCATTAATTGAGTTATTGGAGAAAACCAGAAACTACTTTGTAGCAAATTGTTAAAGGCATTTAATCTAATCCAAAATTGTCAGCCATTTGGATTTAAATTTTAGAGTTTTCGAAGGGAACTAAAGATTTATCGAATTGTATACCATATCTTAGACTCATGTTCATATATCTTAACCATGTTTATTTTAAATAATGGGTATCAAAATTTTGTATGATTTAATGATGTCTAATTACAATATGTCAATATGCAAATTTCGGTTTTAGAATTAAAATAACAATCTTGCCACTTTGTTACACACAATTCCTGGAAAAACACTGCCAAAATTAGGCAGAAAAAAATATTTTATGACTACTGTGAGAATATACTGCAAAGTAAAGTATAGATAATACGCCTTTAATGAGTATGGAGTGTACACGGTTGCATGATAAGTTGGCTACTCCCACTTCAGTTAAGATTACCAGTTCCGCAGTTGAAGTTACTTTCATACTGATTAAACATTCGCGATTCACCCACTGGGTGGTCGCTAAGGTTTCTTCAATATTCTAACAAATGGAAAACTTATCTTAAAAAAAATATAACTGATTATAAAGACTATATTTTAGAAGCCAAAACAGAAACGTTCTTTCTAATTCTGGCAAATTTCTTATGTACAGAACACCCTGTTAATGACACTAATGGTGTAAGCCTTTTAGCCAACTGACAAAAGACTGTAATGACAGATAAGCATTATTTACCAAAAAGAACAAAACAAGGCCAGTTGATCGAAGCGAGTAGATAATCTACACTATATTCTGTATATGAATTTGGCTATTACGTTCTTTTTTCCGGCTTAGTGGAGTCACAGTTGACATATTACTCTACTGTAATTAACTGAGATTGCGTTTTATTTCGGTTTGGACCAGCTTTTTACGGCGCTTTTATTATGAGCCGAAAAGAACCGAAAAATCCCACTGATCCCGTCTCTTTTAGTTATACATGTTTTTCGCCGAAATAAGGTGGGTAAAAGTCGAAAACTGGTTTACAGATCGTAACACACATACGCCCCATTGGCTCTCTTTTCTCCTCACTTGTTTTTTTTTGCATTCGGCTCTTACCTTAATGGAATATCCCATGGCTGTCTGGTTGGTTTATTTTCACAGTTATGTCTGCGTCTGGCTTTGTTTTTATTTCTTTAGTTTCCTTGGTCGAAACTATTTATTTTTTGACGAACCACACACAAGTTCACACAGCTTACATATATTTTGAATTTATATATGTACGTGTGAGTGATGATAATTTTATCCACTGCAATTTAAATATTTGGACAAGAAAAATGTGCGACGATTTTCAAACCGGTTAAGTAGTTATTTCGTTGCTTGCGTTGTACCCGTTTCATTTGAAAATTGTGTTTATTTTAGTCGGGAGGCGACCTGTTGGCCTTTTTGATTTGGGAGAGCCGCAATTTAATTTGCATAGCCACTCGGTAAAATGACTCAAAATACGTATTTCGGTTTCTGAGTTTCACGTTTCTCGCGGTGGACCTGAACTTTTTCCGAACAACCCAACAACCGAACAACTTATTCGACGACTCGGAGAGCGTTTGCAGTGTGACCGCCAGTAGACTGTCAAGATATACCGATTTTTTCTAAAAGCTCTTTTATAACTTTTAAAATACCCAAACTAATTTAAAATTAAAAAAAAAACGAAATTAGTTGCATTAAATAAAATAGAAAATACTCAGTTGTTGAAGTAGTTGAGGTGCCACTAAAATTTATGAACGTTTCAAAAAGCTTTGGTGCTCTAAATATTTAAAATCTATATACTGTAAAAGAAATTTAATTATTGTTCAAAATGTACATTAATTGTATTAAGTTGCTGATCTGAAACTTGATATTTTCTATTTGTCATCCTTTTTATCTGAATCACATTTGGCTTTTTCGTCAGCCTCTTTGTTCTGTTTATCCTCACATTCTTTTTTTTCCAAAACATCCATACACTTTTGTTTTATTTCCGAAAACACACGAAGGACCGATTTTTCTTCATTTGACCTTGCATCCTTTTCTCTTGCTTTTTGACACTTTTCCTTCTCTGCTTCCCTTTCGCATTTTTTCTTTTGCTCTTGTTCCTCGCATTTTTTCTTAAATTCTTCTTTCTCTTTCTCAATCATCTTTTTTAGTTCTTCCTCCTCACACTTTTTCTTCATTGCTTCATCTTTCTCCTTCTTGCTTAGTTCCTCTTCTACACACTTCTTTATTGCTTCCTCCTCACACTTATTTTCTGGTTTTCCTTCCGCGGCAGCCATTTTTTTTAACTCATCTGCCATACATATCTTTAGTTCTTTTTCTTCGGAACACTCTTTTATCATTGCTTCCTCTTCTACTGCACACTTTTTCTTCTGTTCTTCTTCGTCCTGTTTTCTTGATTCTTCATCACACTTTTGTTTAGCCTCCGCTTCTCTTTTTTTCTTTTCTTCTTCACACTTTCTATTAGCCTCTTCGTTTTTTTTTTTTCCACTTCCTCGCTCGTTTTTCTACTTTCAGCTGCTTTTTTCTTCTTCTCTTCCTCCTCGTACTTCTTCCTGGACTCCTTGTCCTTCATCGCCCTTTTCTCTGCCAACCGTTTCTCCTCTTTGGCTTTAATGGCGGCTTCCTCTTCCTGGCACAAAGCACTTAACTCTTCATCGCTCATGTCCTCCAGGTTCTTTTGCTGTTCCTTCTTTTTAATGTCCTCCTCTTTTTTATTGCACCATTCTTTTAGTTCATCTTCGCTCATATCCTTAATGTTCTTCTCTTTTTCTGATGATTTGGCCTCTTCGATTTGCTTTGCCTGAGCTCCAAGAATTGCATCACATTCTTCTTCCAGTTTCTTCATGGTCTCCAGTTGGGCCTCTTCAGGAGCGGTCTTTTCGTCAGGTTCTATGGAGGCCTGAAGTCCTCCGTCCAAGCGACGTTCGTCGCGCAATTCTGTAGCCGTGCTCACCAGTTCCATAAACGAAAATCGATGGTAGCCAAAGTATTGAGCATTTTTGTAGCACAGGGCTTTTCCGGCTCCCGGTCCCAACTTCTCATCCGGTGAACTAAATTGGCGAAAGGACGAAGGACTTACGAATGCCGGAACATCCAACCCATCATGATCGACACTTTTTGGATTGTAACCCTCATCTGGAGGATCTTTCGGTGGGCGCGGCGTATTCGAGGGCTTGCTCTTTGGCTTCTTTTTATCACTCAGCCGACGAAGGATCAGGGGTTGAGTCAGAGGACGAAATAAAATTTTAGACATTTTCGAGTGTCCGTTTTACAATAGTGATTTATTGCTGGTTTATACTTCTAGAAGTGACAGGTAAAGTAGTTTTCTAAGGTTACTGAGTTACTAAACACATGTAAAAAAAATCAATCATACGCACTGAGTGCTCATTTGCTGTAAAATAATGTTTTTTACTCACTTTCATGCGATGTAAAAATTTTCGAATGTCACTTTTTCTAATGGTAATTTATTTTTAGTTTATTCTTCTATAAATGACAGGTAAAGTAGTTTTCTAAGGTTACTGAATGACTAAAGACATGTACAAAAAATAAATCATACGCACTGAGTGCTGATTTGCTGCAGAATAAAGTTTTTTACTCAATTTCATGTCATGTAAAAAATCAGAAAAGCTCACCACCAGCTGCGTGTAAAATTCGACTAACTGATAATATTTGGTGTCAAAAACCGTTCTGAGCTTTTGCTATAATATATTAGCTAAAGAGTTTGTTAATTATTGATTGTTGAACTTTTCGGGAGGTTCAAAAACGATCGCCAAACTGGTTAGGGCCATTATTCGTGAATATTTTTTTTAATCTTGTTGGAGGTCTTTGTTTATAATAAAAAGTGCACACAATATTTTGGCATACTTTGGCTTTGCTGCGTTCAGATTTCACAAACTCTCCTCGAAGAATTTTGATACGGTTGATTATCGTGCAATTATCTTTTTAAGATTATCAACAGGGTTTACGAACGAGAGGTGTTGAGCGGCTTCGACCGGGATACGAAATTTAGTATCCGTCCGACGGGCCTGGCATTCGGTTGATTCTTCAAAAAAGATCTCTTCCAGAAATCTGGTTACGCCAGGAATTCTTAATTCGCAATAATATCTTGTCTCTCGACTACTTAATTGCGTGTGATAAAAGATTTATACACCCGGACTCAAGTAGCTTTATCAAATACTCGGTCGCTACTTTATCGCAATGAAGTGAGTTGTCTTCGTGTTCTTCTGGTTTTGAGATTGTAAAAAAATTAGCTAACTGATGGGCAAACAAACGATGCATATGATGAGCCATTTACTAAAACCTGGTTGAAATGAATTATTTTCACGACATTTAATTTTGAAAAAGACTGTTTCCGAGAAACCTCCTTGGAGTTTATTGCTTTTATGGCCATAATCATTTATCAATCAATCAATTCAGTTCAAAAACAATTATTTATTGCTCTCTTGGCAGCGACGATATAAAAACTGTGGCGGTTTACCCAACAACATTGGAATTAACAACCCCAACAAAACCGGCTAATGGCAGCAACGACGATTACGATCCTCACCAGCACCGCAATGTGAAGAATCCCACTACGTAAGCAAAGACTTTCCACTACGGAGGGCCTTGTGGAATATTTCACTGGCTTATTTTCCCCTAGAAACTGGCAGACATTCGCCCACTTTCTGAAGGCTTCTGTGGGCACAGGTGTTTTGGCAATGCCCAGTGCCTTTGCGAATGCGGGGTACGTCAATGGCACAGTCCTCACTTTCATCATTGGGTCACTGGCCCTCTATTGCCTGCATATTTTGGTATTTATATTTACACGATTGTTTCTATTGCTATTATTAATATTTATTTTCACAGATCAGTTGCATGTACACCTTGTGCAATCGGCAACAGGTTCCCTATATCAGCTTTTCCGAGGCCATGAACCTGGGCCTCAAACAAGGTCCACCCTGGCTGCGTTGTTTAGCACCCATTGCTATGTAAGTAGTTCGGAAAAAAAATAACACTGACTTCTGTATATAAATTTTTCTATAATTGCAATCTGCCCGCTGGATTGATTATCTTTGTAAGTGGTCCTTAATGACTAGTTTATTAGGTAATACAAATCTTATCTTGTGCTTAATCAGTCATTTTCAATCACGAGCATATGCCTTACCATATTATATATCTTTACAACTTTTTCAATAACAAGTGTGTTTGTTTGTAAAAAATGTGGGACAAATCTTAATAGCTTAATTTTTATTAGAGTATCCCTTATCAAATCTATTTTAACAGAACCATTCTTAAAATAAATGTTGGTTAAAACTGAAAGTTATAAAGTCTGAAATTCTTGTATTCCTTTAAGACCCCTTGTAGATGGATTTCTGGCCTTCTATCATTTTGGAATCTGCTGTGTTTACGTGGTCTTCATAGCGGAAAGCATAAAGCAGTTGGTGGATGAGTATATCGTGGTTTGGGACGTCCGAATACACATGTGCATCATAATTGTGCCACTATTGCTGATATACAGCATTAGGAATCTAAAATTATTAGCGCCCTTTTCTAGTGCTGCTAATCTTCTGTTATTTGTGGGTGAGTTTATCCATTAACGAATAATGATTAATAAATTTTACAAATTTTATATTTATTTAGGCTTTGGCATCATTTTGTATTATATATTCGAGGACTTACCTCCTTTAAGTGAACGGGAACCCTTTGTGGCAGTCTCAAAATTGCCCACGTTCTTTGGCACAGTGCTTTTTGCATTGGAAGCAGTTGGTGTGGTACGTACTATTAATATTTAAATAGGAACATAAAAAATGTAGCTCAATTTTATTCTCTGAAAGATTTTAGCTATTGAAGAAAACATGGCCACGCCCAGGGATTTCGTAAAACCTTGTGGAATCATGAACGGTGGAATGTCGATAGTTCTGGGCTTATATATACTCCTCGGATTCTTTGGATATTGGAAGTATGGAGATGAGGCCTTGGGCAGTATAACACTCAATATTCCACAGTCTGATATGTAAGATTGAGTTACTTATTGATAACCCAGAGTTGCTGTAAATTTGGGATTCCGTTTCAGACTCGCTCAGGTGGTAAAGATCTTCTTCGCGATCACCACTTGGATTTCCTATGCCTTGCAGGGATATGTGACTGCCCACATCCTGTGGGGTAAATACTTGTCCAAGCGCTTCAAGGAATCCAGGCAAACACTTTATGAACTGATCTTTAGAGCCCTTATTGTGCTGCTCACTTGTGAGTTCTCTGTTCTTTAAATATAAAAATGTAAAACATTAAACATATATCTTCCTTACTTTCAGTTGCCTGTGCTATTGCCATTCCGGATCTATCGGTGTTCCTGTCCCTCGTCGGATCCTTCTGCCTGTCGATCCTGGGCCTGATCTTCCCGGCTTTACTCCAGATCTGCGTTCAATACTCCGAGGGCTACGGACCCATGCGGATAAAGCTGATCGTCAACCTGCTGCTGTTGTGTTTCGGAGTTTTTGGCGGGGTGGTGGGCACATATGTGAGCATTCTGGACATCATTGCGGTCTACAAATAAACTTCGAATTTAAGCTCGTTCAATAAACTTGGCATTTATTTACTTTTGATTTATTGCAATTGGTCCATAAACCCCCACACACAATGAATATTGTCGGTTTATGGCCGGCACATGCAAAGGCAAAACCGAAGACAAGCTGCCAAAGTAGACCAAATATTTTTAATTTTAATTAAAAGCTTAGCTCAGGTCTTGGCTCGGTTTGGGGAAAATGTGCGGGAAAATGGGGAAAATGCAACGCAGCCGAGCAAGCTGGCCAGTTGCAGCGAACTGTAATTAAATGCAACCGCAATTAACACAAAAGCGCCGCAGGTCAGCAAGCCAGACACAGAACAGAACTCGACTGCTGCCCCTTCCGCAATCCAGCTGCATTTTATTTACAATGTTTTGCTCACAGGTTACTGACAACGCTCCTCTGCATCCTGCATCCTTCCGATGCTCCCACCCCGCTCCCCAGGACCTCTCTGGCTGCTGGCTGTCTTTGGTCTGTGTGAAGGCCACAGAGAGCCAGCCGGACTGAGCCGCAATGACCGCCGGGCCCTAAGAAGCCAGAGGAAGCCGAATGGACAAATGCCGGGATGCCGGAACGAGAGCCATTCAAAGAGATTGGATAAAGTATCTTTAAGTTCTCGGATAAGTGGTTGCATCTGTCACCTTTAATGGGCAAACTAAAATAAACTTTAATAAGAAATGTCGTTTTATGAGTCCCCTTCACTGCGTTCAATTGATGATGAGTATTCAAAAGTATTCAAGCAAAAACATAAGGGCATAATTCACTTTCAAATGGATTTTAAATTAGATAAGCTTTGTTTCAATATTTTTCTTAGGCAACCCTCGCTTTTGTCTGCTGCCTTCCACATGCCGTCCCTAAAATGGTTTGAAATGTCGTTTGCTTTGTACGTTTAATTACTCTTTTGACGGAAATAACACAACATTCATGTATTTGAAATTGCCAGCAACAAACTGCAGCGGCGAGAGAGAAGGAAAAAGGAGGAAAGTGTTCAGAACTGCAACAGAAAACACCGGAAAATTTCGAAAGAAGGCAGATCTTGGGATGCGGGAAATTGAACGCGCTGCAAGTGAGCCAAAAATTGAGGACCCCTGAGTTTTGGCAAGAAATCGGGGACTTAAGTCAAAATTGGGACCTTCTCCTCGACGAACAACTTCAATTTATTTTTCTCGCAGCGAAACCCCTCATCAATTTTCCTAAGATCCTTTTTGCTTTGACGGAGCACACTAAATGACAAGTTGCGCTTGTTTATTTCTGTGTTTTCGTACATTTTCCCTCCACTGCTGGGGATTTTAATTATATTTGTGCAGGCAGGCAGTCAGCTTTTAGTGCCTTCCGGTCAGTTGAATCCGGGGGTCTGAGCAATTGAATTACGCACGATTCCAGGTGGGAGTACATATCGCTTTTCAGTCTAGTCCGAATGCGTAAAAGTTAATTAGGGAAAGTCATGAATAAATTGGCAATGAAAAACTTAATTTCCCACCAGCTCAATTATTCTGTTTATTTCTTTTTAGATCAAATGACCATCTTCAGGGTTATGTATTTATTTATATTATTTATTTACATGTTGATAAATGACTACTTTATTCAAGGTTCGAGTCTTATAATTTCCGTGTTTTATTATTTAATAATTATTTCTGAAAGGTTATACGCACTCTGCTGCACAAATAAAGTTTGTCCTGTTTTATTTTATTTGCTTTAAATACATTTAATTGTCGGTAGTTTGTCAGTTTGAATGTACGTATTTATGTGCGGCTAATCTTTTGGTTTTCCGTTTTCCGCATGACAGACAACCGGTGGTTGAGGTTTTGTATTTATTTCGCATTAAAGCCAGTATCATGGAAATAATCATAAAAAAATATTTATACAATATTTCAGGCTTGTGTCTGATATGCGAAGGATATTTGGAGTAAATAGCTCCTCCCTTTGGAATATAAACCGATGTTATTTTTAACTATTTCGTTAACATGCTTTGCTGCCATGTTTAAGCTCAACTTACATTTCAGAGCTTTTGCAACTCGAGTTTCCCTTATCCCAGGTATCTTTTCCACACAATATTTTCCATCGCCAGTCAGGTTTATTATCCACTTTTGAGCACAGCAAAGCCGGCTTATCACACATTCTATACAACACAGCACACATGCCCCAAGGAAGATTTCCGTGGCCGCAACTGCTTAATTTGCCTCGCATTCTTTCCCGTACAAATGATTAATTTTTATTCATTCAACTAATTTTTCTAGGGCTTACGTAGGAGTCATCATCTGGCTGCTGGCAATTTGTAGCAGCTATCGCAACATCTCTATCTCGGTGCACCCATAGACTCTTCAGCCTTAGTCTCTTGAAGAGTGTGAGTGTGTTTACCGCAGCAAAATGATTTATTTTACGCTACGCTAAACACACACGTACCTAGAACAACAAGATGGGGAAGGCAGGATCCAAGAGCACTGGGGGAAAATACAGACCGACTTTAGCTGTCAAATAAAAATTTGTGCAAAGGCTTTATTAAGTAAACTTACAGAAAGGCGATTGATTGCCTTGTTTGGATATTTTGCAATTCAATACATTTTTCCATTTAATTTTAATGGGTGCATTGTCATGGAACTTTAATTTTAAATAGCGCAATTAGTATTATAATGAACTATTTTTCCAGTGCATGGTTTCAGGAGTAGACCCTTCTTTTGCGGATTGGGGGAAAGCTGCAGAGCATTGGCAACAATAGCGACAAGCGACGCATTGTTACTGCGGCCGGGGCTTTTCGGTTCGGTTTTCGCACTGAGGTTTTCTGTATTTATTTAAGCCCAAACATTTTGTACATTTCATGCAGCCAGACAGCAACTCCGCCGGGGGTTTTGTAACCAAAGGGGGGGCGGTAACAGCATTTGCTATGAATAAATAACGAACGAATGAATGAAGGAATGGATGAATGAATGAATGGCTGGCTGCTTGGATGGTTGGATGGCTGGAAGGATGCATGGATGGATGGGTGACGACATAGCCAGCGACGTGTCTCAGCTTGTGATTTATGTTCCGAATGCATGGAACTATAATAATCACATAGGGGCGAAAGGGGTGAACCGTGTCCTTTCTCCAGGGACCCTGCTCATTGATTGTTGGCTAATACGGCCTTGTACCTGAGAGGTCCCACGGAACTTGGGCCACTTTCTCACCCATTCGCTGCACATAAAGGGTAAAAAAGCTGTCTGGAAAAAAGGGATCATTGTTATGTATGCCACATTTTCCTGCAAAAACCTCACTTAGGGCTGATAAACACGTGTAAAAAAACCACAGTATTATCGGGGATTAAAAACATATTTGTGAGAAAACTACAAATAATAAAATGTAAGAACAAAGTCTTAGTTTAGCCAAAAGAAAACATTTATATGTTTGTAAAATAAGTTAGTAACAAAAACAAAAATAATATTATATTAATAAATCTTGTACACGAATTTTAATTGTTGTGAAAGAACTCTTCAATTTAGGAATAACTTAGTTGTTGGACTTAAAAACCCTTTTAAATTCGAAAGGCCCCAAAGAGGTTAAGAAAGTAAGTTAAAGTGTATGTGAAATACGAACCACCAGCTGGCTAGACAGATTTTTTGTTTTGCGGCTCAGTCGCTGCAGGTGCGTTAAACATTTATGAGCAGCCGAAGCGCAGATTTTAATAGCGATAGAGGGCGGGGGGATGAATAACGGCGGAGATAAGGGTAGCGGCACCGCAGAAATGATTATGAATGCCCCATGTTATGCATAATTCATGATGTTAAAGTGACCCCATTGCGTATACGCAATAATCATACGCCATGTGGCACACGGCAGCAGCCACGAATCGGCTTTATTAGGCACTTGAGTTTTGTGTTTGAGCGAATACCCAAGGGCGGGTACATGGGTTTAAAGGATGGAAATCAATCGCTGATTAGAAGGCGGAGTCTGCAATGACCTTGGGTCCGGCTCTCGGGAGGCATAATTCTATATATCCGACCCTAATTGGGTGTGCGCTTTCATTTCCTGCAACTAATTTGTGTGCGTTCGGGTGAATTAGTTCTTGCTCCCTGCACCGTCAAGTGCTCAACTGACAGCCACTGACAGTTATCGTCTTCATCGGCAGACAAACAAACATCATCACGGGGAGGAGTGCCCACCCCCGTCCCGATCTATGTATATATATAAGCTTGTCGTATATATAGATACCCCGCTGACGATGAGCAACTGTCATGTCATGAGCTCGCTGAGCTCGCACTTGGCATGTCAATGCTCTGCTTCCTGGCCCAAACCCTCTTCTTCGCACAGCAGCCAACCTTCAACCTGCCGTCCGTGTCTCCTCCCCCTCCCTCCCCTCTCCCCTAGCCACCGATGCCCCCCTCTTAGAGCCATAATTTATGCCGCATGTTTGCCATAACTCAATGGCTGCGCGACTGCGGCGAGCTGAGAATTTCACAGAAGAAACGACAGTTGTGCAGATGAAAAAACTGAAGGGATTTCAGACTAAATTATCTGTATTATTTATAAGGAAAACCACAATTTATGGACGCCATGGTTACTTAATTAAAAATTATTAATAAATATTTAGGAGATCAAGAAAGAACTCTATATAACAACACACAATTTTATATAGTTCTGAAACTCCTTAGTTTCTTCTTGTTTTAATTTTGTGATTACATTTTTTCTTCAAGTGTTTCGGGACCTTCAACTGTGTAAGCGCGCGGCTGATGAAGTCCAATCGATAAATGCGATTCCCTGGCTTGAGCTTTCCATCGCCCTCCGCATTCTGGGGTTCGTTTTTGTCGCCGATTGAGCGAACAATTGCTAGATGGCGGCCAAGATGAATTGCCTGCAATTGCGCGCATTGCTAACCATTTGTTAGCCAACAAGAACAGCAAGGAGGTTGTGACTTTAGAGCCGGGCTCAGGCAGCACTTGGCAGTTTCAGAGCCTGTTTCAGATAAGGGCCAAGGCAGTTAGCGATGCCATCGGACAAATAGCATATATAATGACACACTCTCCCCCTAGGAAAGCCCATTAATAATTATGGTTATGGCCTTTTTTTTGGCCAGTGCAAATGTTAATGGCCTTTTGCTGCCTGGTTCAAATCGATTTTCAGGCAGTGCATTTGGCCCCTTTTCCCTTTCTATATTCTTGCTCTTGTAAATTGCAGAATACACTCCCATATGGAATGAACCACAGGCCACTAATTAGCCAGAAAACATTGTCATAGCTTTTGGCATATGCCTGAGTAGCGAAATGCATAAAACTATCCATATGTACACATATATTTCAGTGCCTGTAAGCCAAAAGCCGTGCTAATTCCACCCCCTACATGTGTAATTCATTAGGCCCATTTGGGTAACTGGGCTAAAAAAGCTAATATCGGGGATAATGGAAACTGTCTGAACATAATTTTAACATAAATCAAATACAACTAAAAAAGTGTCTGGTCTAAAAGTGTTTGTTGGGTAATTATAGAAGAACCACAGAAAGCAATGTTATTGGAAATGGATATTTCAATATTAGTTTTATTGGTAGTTTGTTTTTACAATTTGTTGTAGGATTATCTGGGTTTAATGTCAACACTAGTAGCTTTAAAAATTTGAAAAGTTCTAGAACAAATTTCTATAGTTGAAATGTTAAAAGTATATATATTAACCATTATTGTATTTGTCCTTTGCACCATTACAATCGGAAGACAGGTGTCTGAACTCAACTCAAGATGTATCGACTGTAGTTTTATTTCCGCATTGAATGCCAACCTATCCTGCAATATAAGTACGACTGGACATGATTGTGTGACAAACATTTTTTCAAAAGATGGGTTCGAAAGTAATGTTAAGGACCTGTACGAGTAAGTAGAAAAGAAATAGAGATTCGTTTTCCGAATATGATTACCCAGAATGGTTTGCACAGGGGTTCAATTTCTGAGTACAATTCTCCCTTTGAAACCTGTGTACCAGACGACATGGACTTAAAAAGTATTAGGATTAAATGATATAATTAAGTTAAGTATTTTATCGAAAACTATTAATAATAGCTGGGGATGGGGACTTTGGATGCTGCGTTTGGTCTCCCCAAACTGGTTGCAATTTTGTACGTGCGAGAGGGGTTCCTGAGACGTGGTCTTTCCTTGGATGCATGGCCTGCATTTCGCCTGAAAGGACGAAAGACATGATCTTGCCCAGCCACTGTCCTTGCAACGAGTCGAATGGTGGTTCCACAAGAAATCCAGAGCGTGGTAAACGGCTAATGTACTCCATAATTATATATTTTGCTCTTGGGGTGAAGTATCTTCGATACTATTCAAACTAAAGCTTGTATATCAACGATCACTCCTTCATATATAATTTTTAGTTTGAAAGATACTTTACCACAAGTGTAAATAATCTGATTATCTGCTATTTTAAAGCAATGTTTAATTGCTGAGAGATATTTTCCGCGTTCGTGCCGAAATACCAAATTTGTAGTAAAATGAGAAATATTTATTTGTTTGCTTCTCCTATAAATGTGCACACTAATTGAATAAAGTGTAATTGTTTTTGCATTTGCGGTTTGGAATCGTGTGTGTTGAATTAAAACTGGATTTTTGTGGAAACAGAGGGTTTATTTTTCCCGGCGGCAGCGGAAAATGGTTTCAGGCAAAATAGCGACCACAGTCAATGAAGTGTAGTGAGTTATTTGGTGGGGCAATTTTTCCGAATGGGCCATGATAAACTCTCGCATTTTATTGCAGGTCAAATCCCCGCACAAATCTATGAGGAATCTCCTAAATTTCACCCCTATTTGTCTCCGCTCGTCCCAACAAATAAGTGTTTCCCTTAGACCAGCCTCGAGTCGGAGTGCTGTTGTTATGTTTTTGTAGTTTTATTTGGCATAAAGCCAAAGATAAATGGCGAATTCCAAATGCCAACAGAAGTATAACCAAGCAGGAAGGTCAACCGGCCAAGGGGCTGGGGTCACACACACCAGGACCGAAGCAAATCTAGCTGGGATCCCCCTCCACGCCCATTTCGCCCCCCTTCCAGTTGGAGGGTCGGATTTATGTGCGCACAAAAGTTAAACAGCGCGCAACGGAAGTGCGACAACGACAACGACAACAGACGCAGCCGGAGATATGGTAACAAGGATCGGGGAAGAGGGTTACGCCAGCAGGATCTGGACAATCAGGAAGCAAGCCCGGCACTGCAATTTCTCCATCTGCTGAAATCCCCGCATCCTCTACGTGCTCTCATTATCATTATAAGTATATCAAAGCACCAAACTAAAAGAGGAAAAAGTAGAAAAAAGTCAAGAGAAATTCGTAGGGGAAAATAAAGATGAAGGATGAATACTCTAAGGGACAAACCAAATTTGTAGTTCTGCTTAAAAAATGTTAATATTATTTAATTTAGCTTAATGAGATGGTTTGCAATAATTGCTTAAAATTAAAGATTCTTTACAATTGACAAATAATAAGTGTATATAACTTGAAATAAAAATACGCCTCGGGTGATATTCCACTTAAAAATGCGAATGGAAAAGCACAAATGAATGAGTAATTATAGCCCAAAGCAATTCCAGTTCTGCACTTCCTCCTCGTTTAGCCAAATAAAATGCCAGACAGATACGGCGTAATCCGTAATCCGTAATCCGGATAACCCCGCATACCCTCAATCTGCCGTAAAGTGTGTCAACTAGTTTCATCTCGCCTTGAGCGACGCAAAGTCGGAGGCATCAGTTTCGTCCTGGGACTGGGACTGGGACCTCACTAACGGCATTACCTGATATGTGAGGTGCTCGAAGGAAAAAAAACGGAGAAGAAAAATTTGCGAACATTTTCGCCGTTGTTCTCCACGTTTTTTTCGCTCGTTTTTCTTTGTTTTTATAGCCAGAGCCAACTTCCGCTGCCTGTTGACATATTTCCACTTCATTGGAACTAACAGAGTCAAATGAAGAGGCAGCCGCGAGGCGAGATGGGCTGGATTCTAGCCGTTTTCTGATCCAAACACCTGGGGACTCGTTCAACCGAGGCGCAGCAGGTCGGAAAATAGAAGGCCGGCAATGAAGACGGGCGGAAGCATTGGATACACGGCTCGGCGCTCGCACTAACGACAAATATTTGACACATGGGCAAAAGGAACGGAAGGGGTGCACTTGAAAATGTTTGAAAGCTTCAAATCTTCTAAATAAAAAATACATTAGTTATTTCATTAAAAATCTAGAGTGCTTACCCAATATTCTGTAGGTGTAATAAAGAATAATCGTAAGACTCTGTAAAAACATTAAGAAAGTTTAATGAATGATCTAATGATGATATAAATTTAAAGACACTTAATATAAAATTAAAGCACTCATTATTGAATGAACATTTAATGCTTGCTTCGTATGAATATTTTTTCCAAGTGTAGAAAAGCGGTGTTGGAACGCGAAGGCGTAGGCTAAAATATGCCAGACATGTGCCAGGACACGCGTACCAGGATGTGCGTGTTGCGGCTGGGGATCTATGGCTCCCCCTTGTCCGTCCGCCTCCACGTCCCTCGGTTGCCCACACCCCAATCGCAGACCCTTGTGCCTTTATTTTTTTTGCACATTTTAATTTGTGTCAAATTGTTGCTAAAATGCAAAACGCATTGTGCGCCAGGAGACATCTCAACCCATTCGGGGCATTCCATTACCAGCTCCTTCTCAATGTCCTTATTCTGCGCTGCCTCTACGTTTGCTGCTCCTTCAGCCGGCTCCTTATTTTTATTTTCATTTTCTTTTTGTTGCCTTGTTAACACAGTTTTGTGCTTTTGTTTTCATGTGTGTGTGTGTCTGTGAAGGTTTGTTGTTTTATTTTCCTCTTATTGTGGCATAACAAAAACACGGCCAAACAAAGGGGGAAATGGCGAAGAGCTGGCAGAGAAAGTGGGGTGAAAGGTTTGAAGGAAAAGCGGCGAGGAAAGAGGATTGCAGCTGCTGCAATGTCTCCATGTTGCAAAAGCACAACAATAAAATGTTGTTACAAATTCATTACCGAAGGCGTTAAATTTGACACAGTTTTGCATGAAACACAGCGGAGGAGAAGAAAGGGAAGAATTCAGGACGAGGGGCACCAAGGACGAACAGGACATGCAACAAAGGAAAACAGTTTGATAGGGGCAAGGAAGTGCAATTAAATTGTTTTTATTTCCTCGCCACTCGAAAGAGCAAACTTCGAATTAAAATCAACAGAAGATGGATTATGTTTTCTTGAGAACTCTTTAAATTATTTAAAATTATATTCTCGAGGAACATTATCTTGAATATTATGTGCCTAATTCTTTAGAATAACAAACCTTTAACCCCACACTACCTCTGGCTTTTCTTTTCAAAATTTTCCGCTTACGACATGTTTATGATATTCTACGATTTTATTATCATTTCCATTATTCAAATACACTTTATTGAGGATGTAGCCGAATAATTCTGTGACACATTTTATAACTTGCAGAGGCGTTAACAAAAAAGGATTATTATCCGTGACATCTCAGCTAACACGATTCGTTTGGTACTTTGCATCTAAATCGAAATTACAGGCACACGCATGCATGAGCAGGACGGCAGGCGGTCTGTGAAAGAGAGGGGCGTATGGAGATCGAAAGAGAGGGGAGACACCCATAAAGTATGCAGAGGGCGTCACTTCCGCTTACTGTTCATTGCTCTTTGAAAGGAACTGTATCTCTCTCTTTCTAACAGCATACACCCATATCTTTTGCCCACCATTTATAAACAGAATTTATATTCTACATTTTGTTGGCCTTTGTTGCCTTCGCCTTTTGTTGGGCGGCATTAACCTTAGGGTTTAATTTGTTTCGACTTCCGTTCGGCTGCTGGCAAATATGGGAATTACTCGAATTGCGATTTCCGCTGATTTTCCACTGCCTGTGGCTTTATTTGAAGAGATTTCCTCCCGTTAAGTGCAAAGTTTAGCCTTAAAGTTGCAAATTATCTCTTCATTTGGGGGTTTTTTTGTTTAAATTTGTACAATCCGAACGAATTTGAATCTAATTGCAATTAATCACTGTCTTTAGAATGTGACATTTTTTTTGTTGCACGCTTGGACAATTGTTGATCGAATCGCATATTCAAACAGGAGCAGCTTGCTCTCCAGTGTTTGCTCAGCTGTGAAAATGACACGAAAAATGCTGGAACAATGAAAGAAAACACACAAATGGGCGAATTCTATTCGCATTTAACCTTTGGCAGCCATTACCAACTGGCGGCCACCAAATGGACAATATCGATTGACCCCGTTTCCGATTTCGATTGCAATTCGTTTCAGTTTCATGCACTTTGCACCCTGCACTGCTGCCCGCCCCATGTTGCCCCCTAATGCCCAGAATTCAATGGCAAGCGAGCAAAGAAAACATAATTTACTTCCGCTTGAACGGATTGACTTTGAATTTCATTTAGAGCCGGACCCCAGAACCCAAACTCACTTCTACTTCCTGCTGTTTTCCAGCCAGCTGCTGACCAAGCTTAAATGCGGCTCATTTATCAATAGCTGCTTAGCATGGAAACAGAACGACGTAGAAAGGACACACGAAGAAACTCCTGGAACCCTTTTAATTTGAGTTTAAATACCTCTATTATTAAATATTGATTTTTAGTACATGTCCTTATATAATTATTTTTACAATTTCTGCTTTATAGTACATTTTATTTAGGGATTGAGGTCCTACGGTTCTTTTTTAGTGTACATTGCCACTTATCAACCAGTTGCTGGCCAGCTTCCCACTGCTAAATGAACAAGGAGGTGGAACGAGGTCAACAGCAAGTCTCTGTTTCTCAGCTGCAGTTTCCGATTTCCGCTGGCGCACTTCAAAAATTGACTTTTACAAGAAAACAATTGCAGCAGCGCTGATAAGTGGCCGAGAGCAATGGACAGCCGATGTCCGCGTCTGCCAATAGTCAACATACCATTGCCCGCAGGCCACCAACGCCACCATCGCCATCGACTCCTTATCCTTGTCGTTTTCGATTTCGTCCTGCAAGTCGCAGCTGTCGAGCTGTGGGGAGCAAAAGATGGAGGAAAAACAAAGGCGAATGAAATCAATTCTTTATTGCATCGAACGTTCAATGCACTTGCCAGACTTACGCTGTATAATTTTCAACGGAATTTTTTAATATTACCTAAAACCCAATCTTGGCCATTTGAGCTAAATTAAATCAATTTAAACTAAAAATAAATTAATGCCACACTTAACTTCAAAACGATCAAACTCACCACAGCAACTGCTTTGCTTACATCTTTCCTACCCGTGGTGAGTTTATTGATTACCGATACCATTCCGTCAATCGATTATTATGGAAAGTCGCCTCGCAAATAATGTGCAATTAGCAAATAAAGTGAAAGTTTATGTGTTTCGAGTGTGTAAGTTCGCAGTGTATGAGTGATAAGTGTTTTTTGAGTTAAAATCTCCATTGGTATTGCGGTTAAGTGGATTTTCTTGTTGCTGAACACAAAAAACTTTTGCTGGCGCGGCAACTTGTGCTTTTTTCTTGTGTTCCAACTGCCATTTGTTTTTTGAAGTCCAGCCAATA